AGTGGAAGTGGGAGGTGTTCAGTATTCCGCAAGGCATGTTCAGCACTTTTTAAGATCATACCTGAAGGCTACATTCTGAGAATAAGTGAATACCTGCAACTCTGAAGGTTAATGGGAGCTGCAGGTGCTCAGGACCTTTCCAGGGTTTGGTCCCTCTTGAAAAAAGTCACATCCTGGATTTATTGATTAACTAAGTCAGCTCTGTGTAGTTTTCTTGCAGCTAGAAGCCAACGTTGACAGGACTTTTGGTCAAATTTCTCCTGCATATTTTCTCTTTCAACCATCCCTTCAAGACTGACAAATACTTGGGCAATTTTGTGTTATAAGTGAGTTAGTTAAAGAAGAAACAGAACAAAGACTATGCTAATTGCGCGACAGTTTCATCTCAAACACGAGATACTGTGGCAGCTTTTTCCCATGTTTTTCTACTTACTAAAGCAAGCTTTCATGAGAAACTTGTATTTCTTGTTTTATCGTTTTTAAGATGCTCTCACCATATATGCTTTTATTATTTCTTTCATCTGGTCTTGACTGGATTTCATTTCAGCCTAGTTGGCTTTGCTTCCATGATCAATGGTGGCAAGATTAACTACCTGATGACAGAATTGTATGCCACCCATACAGCTGTTAAAAGTCACACTTGACTCTCATTTTTACAGAATAACCAAAAGCAATTCCTGAGACTTCTTTTTTGGAAATCCAGCCACAAGATAAAATTCCTGCCTACAATTTATTAAAAAAAAAAAAAAAAAAGCTAACAGGTAGGCTGTAAATGTTCTACAGAGAGTCATTGCATAACCTGTGCTGTTGCAGATACATCAGCCAAGAATTCACCCCACTGTAAGTGCAGCTCCATTGACTCCAGAGGAGTTTTGCCCATTTACACTAGTAATGAATTTTCTCTGGATGCTCTTCTCCAGCAGTTTATAAACTAGCTCCAGGAATAATGTTGTTTAGCAGTTTTGCCTACCCTCTTTCAGATATCCTAAGCTACTACTGACAAGTACCAAACAAACTTAAGGCCCAATGCTGCAAGATTTTCAGTATTCTAAACTTCCACTAACTTCAGTAGGAATTAGGATAAGGATGTGTTCAGCACCTTATAAGAGAAGGCTTCTAGTGATTTACAAATCCATAGTTATTTGACCCCAAAGTATTTTTCAAATTCCATCAAGAAAATAGATAACCAGAACACTCAATTAAGTCTTCTGCATATTATCTGTGATAAAATAGTACCTAGAAGCCTTACTCATGGCCCAGGACCTCATTGTACTAGGTGCTGTACAAACACAGAACAAGAAGACAGTCCCTGCCCCCAAGAGCTCAACTAACCACATACATGGAAGATCCTTATCATTTTCTAGTATTCTGTGGTATAATAGTCTTAAGTTACTTGTTGAACTTTACATAGAATGTGACACACAATGGTCCAACATAAATCATACATTCACAGACAATGAAATGACCAGAACAATAAACTACTCTCCCCATTGTATCCCTCTTTGGTAATATTACAATTATCAAACAAGAAATTATTGTAAAAGTTCAAGTCAATTACAGCATTTTCTGAAATTAAGAACAGATTTTTTTTGGCAGTCCAGCACTCCCACAGACTTCCCCATAAATATGTATGTGAACAGACTCCACCTTCAACTCATGCAAATCTGGGTAGATAAGCCCTCCTGGTGGATTATACCTGACACTACAATACTTCTCCAAGTGTGTTTATTATTGCTTCTTCCTTAAACTCCATATACAACACAATATAGCAGCAGATGAATAAAGACCCCTTCCTTCTCCCTGAGTCAGCTTGCTTTCTTCCCTGGGTTCTCCAACAGGTGAGCTAATTACCTCATTAGCTCATCATGCTCCCTGCGGGTGTAAGTGATCCCTTCTACCCAGCGGCGTATTATCGCCTAGGCCAACAAGGCCTAGGCCTAGGGCGGCAAATTTGCTCTTGTCCCCTCCCCAACTCCGCCCCTTCCCCAAATCCCTGGCCCGCCTCCTCCCCCAGGCGCGCCGCGCTTCCCTCCTTCCACCTCCCTCCCAGGCTTGCCGCGCTGGGAGGGAGGGAGAAGAGAGTTGCAGCGTGCTCGGAGGAGGCGGAGCAGAGGTGAGCTAGGGCCCGCGGGGAGTAACGGGGGGCCGGGAACCGCTCCCCGGCCTGCCCCAGCTCACCTCTGCTCCACCGCCACCGCCATCCCCCGAGCGCGCCGCAACTCCTCTTCTCCCTCCTCCCTCCCAGGTTTGCAGCGCAAAAGCACTGGGAGGGAGGAGAAGCGAGTAGCGGCGCGTTCGGGGGATAGCGGAGGTGAGCTGAGGCCGGCGGGCACGGGGAGTAACTCTTGGGGGGGGGGGCAGGGAACCACTCCCTGCCCCAGCTCACCCCTGCTCCACTGCCGCCATCCCCTGAGCGCGCCACAACTCCCCTTCTCCCCCCTCCCTCCCCGGCTTGCCACGGGGGGAGCAGAGGTGAGCTGGCGGGGGGAGGGGGGGGAGGAGGCGGCAATTTTTTGACGGCCTAGGGGCGGCAAATTTGTTAATCCGCCCCTGATTCTACCCTTCCAAACCCAATCAGGTTACCTAACTCCTTCCTACTCTAACCATACCTGGTGCCCTGGGTAATGTAAATATCCAAGCTGCTGGCCTTCAACAGGCTCTATTTGTAGATGCGAACAGCACCATGTCACACTGTAGGAAATAAAAACTTTCTAGCACAAACAAAATTCCATAGAGGTTAACTACTTTTCAGAAATGATGCTCAAAATCTCTTAAGAAGCTCAGCTGAGCAAATTGCATACAAACCACCGCTTAGTCAGCACAATATACTTATCAATCAAAGCTAGTCTTGACTGGCTGTCATTAGAAACCTAATAATTTTCACTAGCAAGTCTGAGTCAGTGTCAGATAAAATCCAGCAGCACTAACAACTGAACTACAAGACCAATGTAGCTGAACAAAGAGTGCCACCCAGTGAATAAACTGAAAAGCATTAGTCAGTCATTTCAAAAACTGCATCATAAAAGGGCAACATGTAACTTAATGCTTTAAAAAAATCTAATTGTTACTTAAGCTTAACTCACTTAAAACCTTTTCTCCAAATATTTTCTTTCACTATAACATTTTCATTCAAAAGAATTCCCATTTCTGTCTTCCATTTCGTGCTCACATGGACATCTCTATTTTATGCACATCATAACAGTGTGGCTGTTGTGCACGCTGGCTGGTTAGCTCACTTTGTCCTCAGGTTTCGCAGCCTTCATAAAAACTGCACACACCCTGGAACATTTTATTTTGTACATATTCAGTTCACATATTATTTTATTTAAAAAAATTGGAAGCCATATCCTAGCTTTGAATATACATGAGGGCTCCACTGAGTTCAATGAAAGCTGCATGTACATAGAGTATGGCCCTGAATGTCTAGCCTAAATTAGGGCCAATTCTTAATACCTACTTAAAGATACTGTGCACCCACAAGTCCTATTGATTTAAATGGAAAGTGAGAGATCCCAGTCCTTTGCTGATGGTCAGCATGTTGCACAATCAGGCGCTTAAACTTTTTGTGACCTTTTAAAAGAAACTAAAGTAGATATTTGCACAGAAACCAGGGAACTGAGGGGAGACACTGGTGGTGCTGTGTAACTATTTGATAACACAGACCAAAAATACATATAGCATCATCTCTCTTATTTGAAATTATCTTTGAAATAAAGATTGGTTTATTGTTTCTGTAATTTGACAAGAAATGAATTTCAATGCCATTGTTTCAAGTCTGTTCTGTTCTTTTCACAGCCATTTAAATGAGATGAAAACTGATCAGGGAGATGTCAAATGTCTTAATGAAACACACAACAAAATGTGTCTTCCCCAGAAACAGCTTTAAAATGAATAAATGCCAAATGGTGGATTTGCTGTCTTTACCCAGATAAGTGCAACACGGAGCAAATCTGCTGCTGCTCTGTCTATAGCCGCTGGTGCTGCTGACACTATTGCAAGTGTTCACTTTGCTCTGAATGGTATTGCTACTGCTGCTGCTGTCCCCTTTGGGGCTGATATTCTTTCTATTGAAATTGCTGCTACCATTGCTCTTGATGTTATTGCTATCTGGGCAGCTGGTACACAGGATGGTGGGGCTGCTGGCCTGGGTGGTCCTATTCTTGCTGCACCTCCTGGAACCATAGGTGCTCCCCACTACTGCTATTCTTAAACCTATTATTATTGCAAATGCTGCTGTTGCGACTGTCCCTGCTGCTGCTCTGGGCCACTCCACTTGCGGATGTGTTATTTGCCTCCTAGAGGCCGGAGTCGGGACCCCAGTATATATTGTACAAACACAGCACTAACTCTCTGTGCTTGAAGAACTTACACAGGGGTTCTCAAACTGGGGGTCGGGACCCCTCAGAGGGTCGTGAGGTTATTACATGGGGGGTCGCGAGCTGTCAGCCTCCACCCCAAACCCCGCGTTGCCTCCAGCATTTATAACGGTGTTAAATATATTTAAAAGTGTTTACAATTGATAAGGGGGGTGGCACTCAGAGGCTTGCTGTGTGAAAGGGGTCACCAGTAAAAAAGTTTGAGAGCCACTGATTTACAATGGAAGTAGACAAGATAGACACCGGGTGGGGAAACTGAGGCACGGGGGGCGACGTCACCTGCCCACGGTCACCCAGGAGCTCAGTGTCAGAGCCGGGAATAGCATCCAGGACTCCTGACCCCCAAGCTAGCGCCAGGGGTACCGGCCCCGGCTGCCGTGTTGCACGGCTCCTGGCGGGGCTGTTGCGGACTTGCCCTGCTACCGCGGTCTCCGGCCGAGCTGCGGCGGTGGCGGCTGCTGCAGTTCCCGCGGCTGCCCCAGGAGGGGGCGCTGCTGCGGCGGCCGTTCCGGGCCATGCCCCGGCTCCTCTGGCGGCTGCCGCCGCCGCGCGCCCGCCCGCCCCGCCGCACTCCATTTCCCGGCGTGCAGCGCGCGCGCGCTGCCGGAAGTCCCGTGTCGGAGCCCGGGCGCTGCTGCCATGGCGCTGGAGACCCTCTCCCCGGACTGGGACTTCGACCGCTTCGACGACGGCTCCCAGAGTAAGCGGGGGGCGGGGGCGGGAGCCAGGCCCCGGGCCCCTCCCGTCAGCAGCGGGGCGCGGGCAGGAGCCAAAGGGCCAGCGCGCGGTGGGGGACGGTCGCACCCGGTGCCCCAGCGCCTCCCTTGCCCTGCCGGCGGGGCCGGGGAGCGAGCGACCGGCCCAGCCCTGGGCCTCTCCCCTGGGGGGCAGCGCGACCCTGGCGCCGCCCTGCCCAGAGCCGGTCGGGGGCTCAGTGTCACTGTCCGGCTGCCTGGGTTGGTTGGGGGGGTTGCGATCGTAGCAAGGTCACCACCTCCAGCCCCCTGCGCTGCGGCAGGGCCAGGTAACCTGTCCGAGCCCATCGCTGGCTGGCGTCTGCCCCACCTGTTCCTACAAACCGCCAGCCATGGGGATTCCACCGCCTCCCTGGGAAGCCTGTTCCAGAGCTTCGCTTCTCTCACAGTCGGAAAGTTTTTCCTGGTATGTAACCTGGATCTCCCTTGCTGCAGTGTAAGGCAATTTACTCCTTATCTTGGCTTCAGTGGCTATGGAGAGCAATTGATCAACTTCCTCTGAACAACATCCCTTAACGTATTTTAAAATTATCAGGTTCCCCCCTCAGTGGTCTATTTTTCAAGATTAAACATGACCTTTCCTCATAGGTCAGGTTTTTTAAACCTTTTATCATTTTTGTTGCTCTGGTCTGGACGCTCCGATTTGTCTGCATCTTTCCTAAACTGTGGCACCCAGAATTAGACACAGTCCTCCAGCTGAGGCCTCACCAGTCCTGAGTAAAGCAAGACAAGTAGCTCCTTTGTGTTACATACCACACTCCTGATAATACCCCTCAGAATATTAACTTTCTTCATAATTGCATCACATTGTTGACTCATATTCAATTTGTGGTTCAAAGGTTCATCTTCCTTTTGTTTCTCCTCCCTCCACAGGCCCCCATTTGAGAGGTTTTAGCAAATATCCCAAACACTGAGGTGGGAATCAAACATGGGGAGACACTGATTTTTGTCTGGTGTATTTGCATGAATTGGGGATTTTTCCTGCTGAAACAGTGAAGCCTCTTTCATTGCAGTTGCTGTCTTGATTAGCTGGATAAGTCATGCTGGAATAAATTAGTTCCGTGATGTGTTTTTGCTGTGGCTCAAGGGGAACTAAGTAGGGCATTCGCTTGCAATTTCACTTCAACTTTTTTTAAAATGATGCTTAACTCTTTGTCAGCCTGCTTGTGTGCCTGTCAAAAATCCATTATTTCTCTGTCCTTGTAGACAACTTAATTTCTAAACAGAGAGTGCATGTGTTGTAAAATGAACGGTCAAGCTGAATTAATTACACCAGTTATTACTGAGCAAATATGTCTGTCATGAGCTGCTGTTTCACATAGACAGTATAAGTTTCCCAAGTGGTTGTCTGTTCATGCCACATTTATTTTATTTACTTTCAATGAAAACTGACTTGACTTATTTATGATTTCTAACAATTGTATGCACCGAAAAAGGAAAGTTTAAAGTATAGCTTTTCATAAAATGGTGCCTAATCATTGCTTCCCAGACATTAGCAGGTGTGTGGAGCTGAGAACCTCTGACATGAGGTACTACTTTCACACCAGCTTGATAGAGGACAAGCAGCTTACTTCTCAATAAGCAAAGCGATAGGAAAACAAAATGGGTATGCCTGTTTTTAAAAGGAAGTTTCTTGTATTCCAAGCAAGCTGGATAAAAATCCACAATATGAAAGATTTTTTTTAAAGTTAGTCTCATTTAACTTTACAACTAAATCTTATATCTAACTATTAAGTATTATAATTGTTTAAACGGAGGAAAGGGGGGACCAAATCAGTCTGGTGTAGAATCATAGACTCATAGACGTATAGGACTGGAGGGGACCTCGAGAGGTCTTCTAGTCCAGTCCTCTGCACTCAAGGCAGGACTAAATATTATCTAGACCATCCCTGACAGGTCTAACCTGCTCTTAATGTTGCATTAATGTCACATATATAACTAGGCTTGGCAGAATTCAGCTTTTATTTTCTTACAATTTTGACAGATAATATTGATGTTTAAACACAGAAACAGAAAAAGTGATTACAGATACATTTTCACTGTTGCAGGAAATTGTGGGAGGGTTAGACGACAATTATATAATGACAGTAGATGTTGAGATTCAAAAGGTTAAGGCTGGTTAACCATTAAAATAGAAATTGTCAACATCACATGTCAAAATAAACAAAGTAAATATTCTTATATCAAATCTAAGAAGTTCTCAAGAAGAATTCTTTTTACTTGGCCTATCTGTGAATTTTGATTATTGATGGAAATACTGTTTGTTGGTTTGTGTGTGTACGGTGAAATTCAGGTTTACCAACATATTACCAATAAAAATCTAATCTTTCCATGCCTATATATAACAATGCAGTTATCATTAATGAATCCTCATGGGATGATGTATACCCAGTATAGAAGTACTGTCTGTCTTATTAAAGAATATTAATACAATTAGAGTCAAGTATCAGAGGGGTAGCCGTGTTAGTCTGGATCTGTAAAAAGCAACAGAGAGTCCTGTGGCACCTTTAAGACTAACAGATGTATTGGAGCATAAGCTTTCGTGAGTGAATGCCCACTTCGCTCCAATACATCTGTTAGTCTTAAAGGTGCCACAGGACTCTCTGTTGCTTAATACAGTTAGAGAAATTTTATAATCTTCACTGTTGAGTAAGGTTTTGCATTCTCCAAATCTTAGTGGTTTCATTTTTAATGGCTGAGAGGAAATTGAATCAATCAAATCTGAGTACAGTTTGTAAAGTGTTGTCTCTGCACTGACTTCCTATCCTTCTGTATAATATCTACATCGTCTGAAGTAGGATTTTTGTTCATTGCATGGAAATGACAAAATAAGATTTACTGCGTTCTCTGCTGTACTGCCAATTAATTTCTCAAATGAGTGAACTTGTCCAAGTGAAGAAAATATTATCTTTGCACCTATATGAGAGGCTACAAACAAAAGCTGCCTTATTACTTCAAACTCTTTCTATAACTGGCTGGCAAACAGCTTCTACCAGTTTAATGGTTGAATGGTTGAATCTCTAAATTTGGCAGCCAACGACAGGTACTTCTAAATTGTTCTAGCCTGGATGTTGGCGTGATTGAGAGATGATTAGTAGATACCATTGTAACACATCAACTGCTTCAGGGGCTAAGCATCTAGCCTGGCATTTTAACTTTTGCCCTTTGGGTGGTTACCTTCACAATCATAAGAGCTGGAAATGTTTATATTCAGTTAAAGCTTACATCCTATAGAAACGAATGGGTATCTGCCCCACTACCACGAAGTGGCAAGCTTCCTACTTGCCTCTTGTGAATGAATTTTTTCAAATACTGAGGTAGCTACAGAATTGCTTCTGTATCCAATTGAATCTGCTCTGGTCCTGATCCTGAACATATCTATTTATGTGCTTAAATTTATTCTCATTAGTAGCCTCATTGAAATCAATGAGACTGCTTGTATGCTTAATGTTTTTGTGTGTGTGTTTGCTGCATCAGAGCTTATATTTTTGTCCACTTAATTGTTTTTTATGGGGACAAGATAGAACAGCTATTTTTCTATTCTACAGGAGGCTGCACATCAGTGGTGGAACAGTATAAACGGTATTCACACCAGTTACAAAGTATTTTCTCTGCACTGGCTCCCAGGGGGAAAAAAAATTACTGCACACATTTTACCCACAGCAATGAATAACTAGCAAAACTGATTCCTTCAGACATATTAGGTCCTCATATGGCACTGTGCATTTGACTGTAGATGGCACTGTGCATTTTGATGGATATCTGTTCAGCTTGCATAGCATTATACAAAGTTGTTGCCATCTGTACGTTAATCCGTTTGCTATGATGCGGTGTGTACATTTAATTGTAAGCATTAACCACAATCTCAGTTTTGCTTTTGCTGTTATTACAATGGATCATTGGCTCTATTTGAATCGATGCCTTACTGTTTTTAATAGTTAGTGAGAGTTGCATGTTGATTTTTTTTTTTTATTGGTATATGTATTTGTGTGGTGGGAGTCAGGGCATAAACTACTACAGACAGAAAAAAGGTGGGTACGGTCAAATAAGTTTGAGAACCACTGATCTAGGCTGTAAACAATTTGGGACAAGCATTCCATTTCTTTGGGGCATTTTAACTACAGTAGAACCTTAGAGTTATGAACACCAGAGTTATGAACGGACTAGTCAACCACGCACTTTATTTGGAGCCAGAAGTATGCAGTCAGGCAGCAGCACTTATAAAGATCAGTGACCTGCATACTTAATTTACCATCTAACACAAATATTCTTGATATTTGCCCAATGGAATGTTGCTTGAATATATCACCACTTTTGGCAGTGAGTGGGCTGCCATGCTTCATTTGGCCATCTAATTTCTGAGTGGTGGTAGAGCAGAATGCTCTGACAGAGGGAGAGTTAGCTTGAAGATGGTTAGAATTTTGGGTGGTGACTTAAGACAACGTAATCCTGCAATCAAAGTAGGAGGTAGTGGTAGGAACAGCTATTTTTAATGCAGTTACCAGTGAGTTCTAAGAAGTGTTAAGACACTCATTGCCTCAAGGGTATAATATTACCATAGATGTTTGGCTAGGGATCTCTCTTTCAACTAATGTGCAATATTAAGTTTAAGATGTCATAATTTGTGTTGTCTGTATATGCTATCTACTTAGTATCTTCACGTTGTAAAGTTGACATCTCTGGTAATTTAGCTTGTTTAAGGTCAGTCTTGAAAATACGCATAAACTAAAAAATAACGTAACTGTTTTGCTGCTCCTGGCAAATAACATAACTTCCCTTTAAATTGATATGTTTGAGTTTATAAACCAAGGGAAAAACTTGCATTTTCTTGGTGTCAGCCTTGTTAACTGAAAGTGATTTCAGGAGACAATGTTGTAAACTAAATAACGGATTAAACTAGATCTTACTTTAAATAATCTGTAGGATATTGCAGTTCAGTGAGTATCCTGTAAAATACTTTAACTTTATGATACTACATAAATATTACTATTTACTCTTAGAAATTCATGCTGAAGTACAGTTGAAGAATTATGGGAAATTTCTTGAGGAATATACTTCTCAGCTGAGGAGAATAGAAGATGCATTGGATGACTCAGTTGGAGATGTTTGGGACTTCAATCTCGATCCTATAGCATTAAAGGTCTGTATATATTTAATGCATATTGGAATTATCTATGTCTTCTACAAATTAGAATAATGCATTTCAGAGGAATTCAGTTGTGATTTTACTAATGAAACTCTGGAATGATCAGATTTATTGGGCAAACGTTTTCGTATTCAATCAATACAGAACTGTCAAATTAAATGGAGAAATGTGATTGTCCAATAGCTTATAGTTCTGTTACCAAGCATCTATGAAAAGCCTTCAGAGATGGAGCTCTCGTTTCAGAATACAGTACTTATTCTCTCCTGGGCTGCATGAGAACCATAAGGCTGAAGCTGTTGGTATCATGGTGTGCCAATCTGGAAGCCAAAAAATCTCTCGCTTGCAAATGAGTTGTATAGTTGGAAGAGAGTTTGAAGGTATTGCAAGGTCTCTGCTGTTGAATTCTACTAGTCAGATTTCTGAGCTGCATTTATGAGAGAGTAGAGTCACCCTGAGCATATGGTCTTGGCCTAACGGCCTCTTTATCTCTGATCAGTGGAATGCCGTTGTCAGCCAAGCTTTGCCTGCATATTTCAGGCTTTAGAGTATTTTTCCCCAAATGACTGAGGGCAGGTTGTTTTCTGATAATGTTAGAACGTTGGGGTGCTAAATGAGTCCTGTCCCTCCATCATTGATAATTAGGCTCTTTAGAGCGTAGATGGCGATTGTGTTGGTCAGACACAAACTCTTGGGAAAAGGGTGCTTGCAGGGTGTCTAATTTGGCATTCTACAGCTGCTGGAAAAAGTGTACACCATCTCTTTCTTGTACCCTGTTCAGACCTTTTAGAAGAGTTAGTAACCACTGTCTGTAGAGTCTAGGATGTTCATGGCACTTCTATGGGCCAGTAGCCATTGTGCCTTCTGTCTGGAGTGGACCTGAAGCCTTTTTTAGTTGTGATTTATTTAAAGTGAGGCTTCTGTTGGTAGACCCAAATAGAACTATAAACTTTTTTGAATCTTACAAATTACAGAAAACTGTTTCAAATATCTTTCTAGTAAAGTTACCTTCAGGTAAAATATTTAAAAGTATATTAGCATTAAGATATTTTTAAAGAGCTAAAACAAAAATATTTTTGAGGCTAAGCTTGCACTGTAATCAGACAGTCACTAATATATATTTTCCCTGTACCCTGGAAGGGAAAAGGTCCATGCAGTTGTGCCCTTATATTTGTTCAGTTTTTTTAGTTGTGCCAAAAAAAATTCCCCTAACCCATTTTAACCATAAAATAGCAAATCATTGTTGATTGTCAGATAATATCATTTCACATTATTATTTTTTCTCTGTCCTTTGGAGCTTAGTGAAACTTAAAAAAATCCTACATTTTGAGCAGTTCAGGGAACCAAATTCTTGCATACAATTCTTGTTCCGTACAGAAGAACAGAATATTTGAGCACAGGGGTGTAAACTGAGCCATGCATAGATATATTTGCAACTAAAATACAGGTTAGGTTACATTTGGCTCACTAGCTTCAGTGATTGCATTTTAAAGGAGGGCAAAAAAACCCACACAATAGTCCTCCTCCTTCTAAAGCCAGTTATTTCCCTTCTCTCCTGGGCTGCATGAGAACCATAAGGCTGAAGCTGTTGGTATCATGGTGTGCCAATCTGGAAGCCAAAAAATCTCTCGCTTGCAAATGAGTTGTATAGTTGGAAGAGAGTTTGAAGGTATTGCAAGGTCTCTGCTTTTGAACCCTACTAGTCAGATTTCTGAGCTGCATTTATGAGAGATTAGAGTCACCCTGAGGATATGGTCACAAACTTCCTGTCCTTCATGAAGTACAAAATGTTAGTTCTTTTTTTATGTTGAATTTACAGGCATTATTTGAAAACAGAACTTAACTTTTATCCCCTTCTGGGAACATGCCTGCCCAGAAGCCTTAGCGGGCTAAACTTTGAACTTGTGCAATCAGACTCAGTGTTAGCATGCACAAATGGGGTAGAAAAGCTCTTGACTGACTTTGAAATCCAAAATAAGTGTTTATGTATGCAAATACATGCCCTGCCTGTACAAATAGGTATGCACACATTTTTGTAATTACAAAATTAGAAGCCATTTAAAAATTGGGCCCAGTAGATGTCTTATAGCAGTCATGACTTTTTGCTTTAATATTTCTATAATTGTTATACATTTCACATAGTTCATTTGTCTTTTACCCTTACATACCTTCATGAAACAGGACTTGATGAGTCCATGTAATATGAGAACTGGATATTTTCTCCACGGTAGCCTGCTAGTAGCATATACTTAGTGTCTTTTTGGTACTGAGTGCATTTGGAACTAGGTTGAAAAAATTAAGTTACTTAACATAATCATATAAATGGTGATTCCTTTTAGAAATTAAACATATGCTTTTTTAAAGAAAGTCTTCTAATATTTCTATTTTCAATTAATGTTTAGCTTTTGCCCTATGAACAGTCTTCCCTGCTGGAGCTCATAAATACAGAAAACAAGGTAAAATGCTTTAAATTTAGAATTTAATGACAAGGTCTCTGTAGTAAAATCTTTAAATATTTTTTTTCTGTAGAGCGCTTTGAACATGAAAAATGTGTCAAATATGTTTTTATTTATTACACTTTTATACAACACGTGTAACTCTGTGTTTTTTTCCTTGATGAGTCTAGGTTCTGAACAAAGTAATAACTGTGTATGCTGCCCTTTGCTGTGAAATCAAGAAGTTAAAATATGAGGTAATTCCTACAGCCTGTCTTTATTACTGTTATAAAAATGTTTACAGTTTGGCAAATTGAAATATAGATTTTACATCTTGGCTTTTTTTAGCTTCTAATCCTGCAAACATAAGCCATGTATTTTTGTAAATTGAGTATTTATACCTTTTTAATCTGGAAAAAATCTCTCCTTTTCTTGGTAGGCGGAAACTAAATTTTATAATGGCCTCTTGTTTTATGGAGAAGGAGGTAAGTAGTTCCATTTATAGTGTCAGTTAGTGTTTTCTTATGCTGTTGCTGCTGCTTATATTAAAATAATTGCACTCTTATGTTATAGGCTTAGAAATGTACTTTTACTACATTTTGTCTATTGATGAAAACCTGAACTCCTGGTCTCTGTTACAATACAAGCCCTGCATATCAGTGTCTTGTAACTACATTGAATTAACATCAAACATCATTAAGATTTTAGCCAGAAATAGCCATTATCTGCTGTGAAGCACTGGTATAGTAGTGGGAACTTCCTTGATATTTTGTCTCTGCTTTACGTATGTGTTGACGGCTTATGTGAGAGGCAGGAAATGGGGACTGATGACAAGAGAGTGTTTGAACACTTTTGGCTTTTAAGGAAGGATTTGGAGAGAGGGCAGGGCACTAGGCATACAAAGAGAGGGAGACAGTTTCTTTCAGAAAGTGCAGCATGAGGCTTTTTTAAAAAAAAGATTTCATCTTCCCTTTAAATGCTGAAACCTTTAATGTAGGTTCACACTGTCTTGTATTTTAAAAAACTACTTTGTGAGCACATGTACTATCAAGGCCGCACTGGGGGGGGCAAGTGGGGCAATTTGGCCCAGGCCCCGGGCCCCGCAGGGGCCCCCACGAGAGTTTTTCGGGGCCCCTGGAGCGGGGTCCTTCACTTGCTCTGGGGGCCCCGGAAAACTCTCGTGGGGCCCGGGCCCCCGGAGCTTCTTTCGCTCCGGGTCTTCGGCGGCGGGGGGTCCTTCCACCGAAGCGCCGGGTCTTCGGCGGCAATTCAGCGGCGGGGGCTCCCTGCCGCCAAGACCCCAGGCCCCCTGAATCCTCTGGGTGGCCCTGTGTACTATTGCAGTTATTTTTCAAGGTTTATATATTGAATATAAGTAATTAGTCCTAAAACTCGTATCTAACTCCTCCTCCCTAATGCATAGATTTTTGCAAGATGTCTTCAGACAACATGTGGCAATATATACAATGGACCAAATCCTCCTTGCCTTACTCATGAAGAGCCATAATGGCTTCAGTACTTCATGAGTAAAGTGAGCAGGGTTTGACACTGCTTGTGCTGTCAAAACATAGGCATATTAGTGCTGGTTAATCACTTGAGTCATTATCTTGGCATGAAAACCACTGGTGTCAATGGATTTAAGGCCATGATACTACTGAAGGATGGAGGCCTACCTATACTTAATTCTGAATTTCTGCATTTTAAGATAGTGTAAGCCAAATTGTAACACTTTAACATAGACGCTTGTTTTTAAAGTAGTAAGGGGTGGGTTATAGTGCCTCATGCCTGTGTGTGTGTGTGTGTGTGTGTATATATATATATATATATATATATATATACACACACACACATACATACATACATACATACATACATACATACATAATGCAGGACTCTGCTTTTTTTTTCCCAATTGATAGGTCATAAGATCTCACTCTGGGTGAAAGTTACTTCTTTTTTTTTTTTTTTTTTTTTAATTTATAACTCATACATTAAGGGATTACTAGTGACATCTTGCTTTTAAGCATGGTGTTTGGGGTTAAAGCACAGGACTTAGGAGATCTGAATTCTCCTCCTGACTGTGCTACTGACTTCCTGTGTGACCTCAGAGCTAGTCACTAAACTTCTGTTTTTCCCATCAGAAAGATGGGGAAGATAATGCCTCTTTTACAGTAGCCTTGTGAAGCTCAGTTCATTAGAGTTTTGTAAAGCCTTTTGAAATCCTTGGATAGACAGGACTATAGAAGTGTGTAAACTCTTTGAGGTTGAGACTGTGTCTAGCACATTCTAGGTGCGCTGTAAAATATGACTATCTTGGTTCTTTTGATGAATCATTTCTCTAACTCAGATAACTTTTTAAAGCAGACTTCTACCAGACATGTTTAAAGCCTTTTGAATCATAGTGACATACTGCCAAACTGTAACAAAGGTCTCCCTCAGAAATGTTCTGCCTCATTGGCAGGGAGAAAAGAGGGCTGCAGCAGCTGTAAGCTGCTTATTCTGTGACAGCAGTTTGGTCCTGCTGTTTCTCCTCTTCCTCCTGGAGAAGCCAGCAACAGGGAATGGATGGGAATGCAGTCCTCCAACCAACACCTCTAGATGCATGAGAGCCAGCTGTTCCTCTTGTAGCAGCTGCCATAGCAATTGTAGGCTTACCTGGGTGAGTAGCAGCTAGCTAGGTCCCTGTCTTGGCAGGGTCTGAAAATAGGAGGCAGAGCATTTTTGAGTTGGCCTCTGGGGAAAAAAAATTCTGTTCTCCTCTCCCGATGTGACAAATTCCTGTCCTCCACCATCACATCACTATGCACAGGGCTGACCTAGGGGAGGTGTCACAAGATGTTTATTTGGGGTACACATCAAATTTAACAGAATGACTTGTACATTAAAAAGTGTGTGTTGGAGAAAGATACAATCTTTAGGAATCTCAGAGCCTTCTTCTGCAGAAGAGTGGAGCCTAGCTGCTTGTGCCTTTCATCCCCATTGATTGGTTTATATTGATGTAGATTTTCAAGGCTATCTTCTTAAAGCAAAGGGGGTAGAATTTAAAACGGCTGAGATTTTCTTTCACTGGACCTGAAGTCAGCTCTTTTAACAAAGGACTTGCACAAGCCCCCTCCAGACTGCCATTAGAAAAGCAATTATTGTGCATACTGTAGTAAGGTTTCAAATTAAATCCACAATACCACAGGTGCTTAATCCCTATTGTGGATTAACTTCTTACCCAATTTAATTTTTAAAATTAAAGCTATTGTTATTCATAGTGGTCTTGTATAAAAGTCTTACGCATTAGGTTTTTAATAACTCCCAGGTTGATGCATTTTAAGACTCCGTATGCCAGATTTTGTCAAATGAGATTTTATGGCCAATTATAATTGCCAGAATAATGTGTTTACAGACATAAATGCTGACACAATGTTAAACTGGTGCTCCAGGAAACTTGGTGCTTTGTAACATCCTATTATTTATGTTGAGGCTAGTGCTCTGGAGCCCCAGTCATGGACCAGGACCCCATGGTACTAGGTCCTATAGAAATACAGAACAAGAAGATGTTCTCTGTTTAGCAAAGCACAGTCAAGTCTTTGTTAAGGATTCATTGGAAATACATTGCTTTATAGCAGTGTGCTTTAATTAAAGGTCAAACAAAATTGGTTTGTCATCCAGGCTTCAGTGTAATGAATAGGTTTGTCTGATATTCCTAAAGTCAGTGAAGCTTTTGTTTATCTTTCAAGCCACAGATTCCAGCATGGTGGAAGGTGATTCCCAAATACAGATGGGAAGATTTATTTCATTTTTACAGGTAAAGAGTGCATCTTGGCTTTGGAGCAGTTGTAATCTGTTTTTTTTTTTTCTTCTACTTGTCAAGTGGACTCATCAATTACGATATCCTATTTACATCCCATTCAACGGTACTGGGAGTCACTTTTGTATGCAGATTACAACTTCTTGCCTGCACAGCTATCACAACCAACCTCCTTCACTCATCTTTTCAAATAGAGAGCTGTTAGGTGCAATTTGTTCACTATTGTGTTTCTGCACTTGAAGCTGTTTCAAGCACTGGAAGCCCAGTGTGAGAAGGCTAAAAGATTTTCAGATTCAGTGCCCAAATAAACTAGTTTACCTAAACACACTTCAACAGGAGAAAATATAGCGGGACTCTGTCATTTTATGTTAAAGGTCTAGCATTCTGTTGCATGTTTCTGATGGTAAATTTTAGTTTGCCATTGAATAATATAAAAAGTGGTAGTGCTAGCATGGAATAAACCATTTGTTTGTTCATCTTCCTTCAGCTCATAGAATGAGGTAAGATTAAAACAAATGATTTAAAAAAAATTGTTGATGCCTCACAAAAAAAATTCTGGGGAATAACATGCCTTTTAGAAACAATTGTGCTTATTACCAAGGACATTTGAATGAAAACAGGATCTGTGTTTCTGAGGATTTCCTTTGTTCTTGGTGTTCATTCTACACTAGAAGTTATAATTCTTTTTCTGGCATGATTTCCATAGCAAGTGATTGTGCAATCACAAACAGGATCCTGTTGTCATGAAAAATGTACTTGTAAAAAATGAAAAATATATACTGCTTAAGCAAAACTGTGTCTAGAAAATGTAATTTCAGTCTTCATTAAACAGGACTTTATTTACTGTTTTGTAAATATCGTGTATCAGAGTTCTTAGAGGTCCCCTTTGGTAGACCAAATATCAGAGGAAAATACTTGCTAAGCTCTCCTGCATGCAGTTGCTAATATCTCTGCCTTTTATTGTCCACTTTCTGTCTCCTGATTTTTGTTCTCTCCCACCCAGCCATCAACTTTCTCTTTCACTTTTCACCTCCCAATTTCTCCTACTCATCTGTTCAGAGGAGAAGATTTGTTGATGGCTCTGTGGGCCCATGCTACATGTGCTCCTGTGGCTCAGCTGAGAGTTCTGGGAGCCAGGAGGAGAGAGTGGCTGAGTGGGTGTTTGCTTACACTCCTGTATGTAAGATATCACCCCAGGACCATAGAGGGAAGGTTGGGGAGCTTTCAAATAGCTGTATCCAATTCCTGCTTTATAAGAATCTGTAGGAAGAATCTCTCCTTACTGAGCCTGTCCTGTTCCCACTGCTGTGCTCCATTTTCTATTCCCCAGTAGGAGTGGGCTGGTGGCAGTGTCTACCATCTGAGAAACACTGACATAGTCAATGATGTGCAGAGCTGGCAGAGGGATCAGAAAATGCTGTTTTCGTATAGCTGCTACATAAACGTATTGGCTGTTTGTTGCGGATTTGACCGTTCTTGGTATCCAGAGATTGTTCTCAACAGACGTAACAGCTAAATATTTACTGAGGTGATATTAAAGAGACAAACTATGAAACTAATTTAGGAATACCTGCCAATGTTTCACTACCCTCTGCAGGATTAAACCACATAATGTTTAATATACTTAGAAGATTTTCAAAATCTGTCAGTTTGCTGCATAGTCTGTTGCTGACAGTTGGATATGTGCCATGAAATTGGACTTTCTGCATTAAGGGTTTAAAGGGGCAATGTTAACTGGTTCTAGGCCTGACATTTAGGTTCTGTTTTTAAAAACCTAGAAACCTCAAAGCCAAATACAGAAAGAATGTTTAAATGAAAATGAAATTAAAACCCAAACAACGTTTTTAAGCAAAGGAAAAGCAGAAAGTGAAACTGAACAGGCTGTTTGCATGTCCAAGATGAGTGAAATGCAAAATGTAAAACAACTGCATATATGATAAAAAGCCAATTTCGATTTTTTTTAACTCTTCCATAGATTAATATAGTTTAAAGCCAGAAAGTACCAATAGGTCATCTAGTTTGACCTGAAATACCACAGGCCATTACGTTTCACCCAGTTATCCACGTGTTGAGCCCAGTAACTTGTGTTTTAGCCAAAACACATCTTCCAAAATGGCATCTAGTCTTGAGCTGAAAGCTATCCACCACTTCCCTTGGTAATTTGTTCTAATTGTTAATTACCCGCATTTTGAATTCCCCCCCTCATTTCTAACTTGAATTTGTCTGGCTTCAGCTTCCAGCCATTGGTTTTTGTTATACCTGTCTCCACTAGATTAAAGAGCCCTTTAGTACCTGGTATTTTCTCCACGTGAAGGTACTTATGCACTGTAATCAAGTCACCTCTCAATCTCCTTTTGACAAGCAAAACAGATTGAGCTGTTTAAATCTCACTGTAAAGCATTTTCTCCAGCCCTAGAGTCACTTTTGTGGCTCTTTTCTTCCCCCTCTTCAGTTTTTCAACATCCTTTTTAAAATGTGGATATTTGAACTGGACACAGTATTCCAGTGTCGGTCTCACCCATGCTGTATTAAAAAGGTAATAATCACCACCTACTCCCATGTTTATGCATCCAAGGATCACATTAGCCCTTTTTGCCACAGTATCACACTGTTTATTTGCTTGTCCACTATGACCCCAGATCCTTTTCAAAGTCACTGCTTTTGAGGATACAGTCCCCATTTTATAGATATGGCCTGCATTCCTTGTACCTAGATGTATTTACTTTTGGCTGTATTGAAATGAATTCTGTTTGGATGGGGCAAGCTTACCAAGTGATCCAGATCGCTCTGTATGACTGCCCTGTCCTTGTTATTTACCACTCCACCATTGATTCCAGTGTGTATCATCACTAGTGGAGATGTGCCAGATGACTTCATAATCCTATCCAGTCTTGCGGTTGCATTTCAAATGTTCACTCCTGTTCTTGTGTCCCTGGCTGAATTCTCTGTCCTCTCCACTTTCAGTTTTAAATCCAGCATGTCAGTAACTCATGAAAATAATCTTTTTTTCTGTCTTGAACTGTAGCTGTTTATCTGTAATCTGTCTGATTTGTGGCTTAAGCTTGGCATGGCTTCAAAGAGAACAATGGTTGTTTAGAGCTAGAGCAGTGGTTTTCAAACTTTAGGCTGCGTACCCCTTTCCAATTAATGTAATCCCCGCGCATCCCCATCTGAGAAAGACAGAGGCGATGCGTGGAGGGGACACGCGGAGTCACATGCCCCCCAGATTTCTGCTTTCCATTTAGCAACAGCTTCTAGAGGGTTTCAAACTGTGGGGTGCGCCTCCATAGGTGGGCGTGGAGGAATGTTCGGGGGAGGGGGGGTAAGTGGCGACGCTAGGCAGCTCAGGCCAGCTCCGCATAGTGGGGCTCAGGGAGGGAGCACCACCTCCACCCTCTGACTCACTTCAGTGGGCCACCCAGCCTGTTACAACCAAAAATTGTAACTCAAATTGTAACCCAGGCTGGGTGGCCCTGCTGAGGTCGGTCGGGGGTGGAGGTGGCACTCCCTCCCCGAGTCCCGCCCAGTGTCACCGGCCTGATTCCCCCCAGGGGGGTGCACCTCAGAGTTTGAAAACCTCTACTAAATAAAATGCATTGTCTGCCATTACCGGATTTTTTCTCACGTACCCCTTGACAAGAGCTCATGTACCTTTAGGAATACGCGTAACCCAGTTTGAAAACCACTGGGCTAGAGCATGCTTTTGTCATGGAGTTCATAGAAAGCGGTGGTGCTTACACACACTGCCTGAGGGAGAGTTGTAGGAGGCCTTGTGCCTCAGAAGCGTAAGGCCTTCTAGGGCTCTTTGTTTGGGGTGGGGTGTAACTTATTGCATCCATTTTAAAGGTGTACTATACTCCCCCAAGCAACCAGCCAGCTCTTGGCCATTGCATGGGTGAGCTGGGGCAAAGCCTTGCCTAGTGTCTGCACATTTATTCTGGGAGGAAGCATCTGAGTGACGCTCCCCTGAGCATCAGGACTGTGGTTCTAGCTAGCCCTATTGCTGGCCACTCAATAAGGAGAAGGATCCTTACTCCCTCTTATGCCTCTGTGTAGCTTCATTAACCCTAAATCCTAAAGAAACATGCTTCAGGAAATGTGTCTGACTTCCTGTCCAGGCTGCAGTTTTGAGAAGCCTCAGGCTGGAATTCGGAAGTTGAACTTGGGGTTCTGGTTGCATGGTTGTTGTTCACTGTCTTGGAAATAATACCAATGTATGTAAAATTTGTCATTTCAGGAGCTGTCTTGTTTTGTTACACGGTGCTATGAAGTGGTGATGAATGTAATTCATCAGCTGGCTGTTCTCTATACCAGCAACAAGTAATTATTGGCACAAATGCTATATCCCCTTTTTATTATTAAACAAAGATGTTAGATGCAAGATGTTATGATCTCCCTAAAGCATGGTAAACATTGTAATACTCTAGTCAGAAAATGTGGAGAGTGGTTTTTAATGCAGCCTTATGTGCCCACATAAGCTACTTTTTAAAAGGATTTTATTTATTAAAAGAATCATAGCCTGCTTTAAGTGTGTTTTTGTGATGAGATGCAAGAATGTCTTTTAAACTAAAAGGCATATTTCAGGAGAGCTGTCTCTTTAGAGAAGGAACAAATCTTGATGCTAATGTGGCTGACCTTTATATCCTTATGCCTCTAATTATTGGACTTAGTCCCTGCCCTACTGGCAGGAGGAATGGATGCCTTATGTTAGCTGAGAGATGCTGTGGAGATACCAGTCTAACATTTTGAAGAAATGGTAAAATCAAATAGCTTCAGAAGCTTAAAAAAATTAGGTCACATTATTTAATTTTAATATTATAAATGTGTGATCATAACATGTACTTGAGCAAACATGATCAGTTTTTTATTTAAACATTAGTATCATAAGTATTGTCTTGAGTATGGCTTTATGGCTTCATATGCCAATTTGACAGTAATGATGTCTTGGTATATGGGAGACAGTGTCTTACATCAGAGGGTCTTGGGCATTTACTTACTTTGTCTTTGGTTTCATCTGTAGGATTTAGAGCTTATGTTTTCAGGTGGAGATGCTATGATTGCTAATTAGTCTTAGTTATTCATTTTTGTATTGTCAATTTTAGTGTATATCACTTGAGAGATTAAGGGCATGATTTTCAGACATGAAACTCCAGTTGAAGTGAGTGGGAGCTGTGGGTGCTTGACACCTCTGAAACTCAAGCCAATTTGTATATCTGGTCTCAATGTACTAGCAACACTCCTAGGTTAAAGTCACATGGGAAGCATATTTAGACTGAATGTTTGCAGTTTATAAAATTTAAAAAAATCATGCAGTTTATAAAATGGTTGAAAAAAGTATGCATACAACATATTGTATTGAAGGGGATGTGCACCCTACATGATATGTGCATAACTTCTATTGTGAGTCATTACTATAAATGAGTCGGTACTAAATCAATGCAATGTTACTGTGGTAGGGGCCACTGTACTCCTGGACCTATTATCTTACAAATCAGATGTAAAATAAAAGAATGGGACTTGGTCGTTGAAAGAACTCATGATGTCTTAGAGTTAGGGATGGGAATGCTAGAGCTTTGGCCATATTCTGAATAGGTTAATTCTTTCTGACTAAGTTTCCTCTGCTGTTTTAATTGGTTATGGTATTCTTCTACCCGAGGCTGCTATTTAACAGTACTTTGCCATCTCTACACAGCTGCTCTGTTTCAGTGGTGAATGAAGTGAAGCTGGGTGTCTAGCTTGCTTATCAGTTGGTTAAGTTTGTAAAGTGTTTTGGGACCTTTGGGATAACAGACACTATAAAAATGCTAATTATTAACGTCACTGGGACTTAATACACATGCGCAACAGACTAGACCTACAATTTAACAAACCAATGGTTCATTATGATTTGGAAAATATCAACCTGATATTGTTACATTGGTTGTCAAAACCAATTTTTAATATGCATTTTTATTATGTATTGGAATATATTTTTCTTTACTGATAACAATTACCACAATGACTTTCTTGAAGTAAAATATGCAAGAAAAACCTTTAAGGGACTGATACCTCTAACAACAATTAAAATGTGCAAAATAAATAAGTTCTAGCTAATAATGGAGAAATAAGATATTGTTTTGTTTCCTTATCTATTGCAGGAATGCACCTAAAATTATAGAGACATCAGGAGTTCATTTCCAGGTGAGATGGTTTAAAGCAACACTGGTTTAGAGGATTTTAATTTTTTTTTAGTTTTATAAACAAATCTGAAAAACATTTCTAAGTTTTCTTGTGAGAGAGACTAGAAAAATGAATTAAAGCATCATTTTCAATGTGTGTTGGAATCCTGCTCTCAGGATAGAGTTGTCCAGTCACTGTTTCTGATTATTATATGGAAATGGTCATTACATTCAGATATGGCAAATGCTAACTTTCTTAGATCAAAAGTGGATGGGACTTGTGCTTCTGTGTCACAAACACTTTTTGAGAATCCTACCTTCATTGTCAAGACAGGTCAGCTAGTTTGAGTGGCACCTCCATGCTAACTGTAACATTCCTTCTCTGTAGTGAAAGAACACTAAAAAAATCTTTGTTTGCATTGCATGAAACCATTTGAGTAACTACTGGAACTTCTTTAACAGACTATGTATGAGCATCTAGGAGAGCTGCTGACAGTCTTACTCACGCTGGATGAAATAGTTGACAATCATGCCACTCTGAAAGACCACTGGACCATGTACAAAAGGTATGCAAGTGGAGCCTTAGACATATTCCCACAGTATAAATATTAAAAATAGGTGGACAAATTTTGGTCTAAAGAAAATGAGTTTGAAAGCCCTGGTATTCCCTAAACTTCTAGGGCTTGAGCCTGTGTCAGTGAGAGTTGCCACTGACTTCAGTGGGAGCAGAGTTGGGTCTTCATTGTGTCATCTTACTGGCGCAAGTAAAAATGTACAGTGCCAGATCGAAACCCCTACAAACTCAGCCTGTTACTTGGGCTGCTGATACAACCTTGAGTAGAAGGGTAATGGCTGCTGATGTTTGAGAGAGAATGTATTTGATAAGAAATCTTATCTCAAAGGGAAGTGTGAACTGTGGCTAAAACTACAGTATCCTGTCACCCTTACTTGAGAGTAGCCCTATGGACTTGAATAGAAATATTTGCTTGAGTAAGGGTTGCAGGATCAAGTGCTGTGTGATATTACTGTAGTGCAAAATTAGTTGAGATTTCATAGAAATCTTCCAATAGGGATGGATTGTTCTGCAATTTGCCTATGCTGACACAGTGACCTTTAAATGATTAGCTTGTGAAGGGCAGACATGGATTCTGTTAGGGATATGTTAGTGCTGGGGGCCTACATGACCATGTTTTGAGACTTATCGTTTCCTGCGACTCCAGACAGCAACAAGGCAACATAGTGACCAAGGAATCCAAGGAATTTACACATTATGTTTTCTAATGCTCTCTACTAGATAAAGCTTTTTTTCTCTTACTTAATTGGCCTCTCAGAGTTGGTAAAACAACTCCCACCTGTTCATGCTCTCTGTATGTGTGTATATATATCTCCTCAATATATGTTCCACTCTATATGCATCCGAAGAAGTGGGCTGTAGCCCACGAAAGCTTATGCTCTAATAAATTTGTTAGTCTCTAAGGTGCCACAAGTACTCCTGTTCTTTTTGTAGATAACACTGTGTGACACAGCAGGCATTAAGGCCTTTCTTCATTCTTGACCAAAACACTGGTGAAGCCATAATCAAAGAAAGCCTCATTATATTTGTAAGCACGTTTCTCAGACACTTGTTTTCCATTAATAACTGCATTACTAGACTTGCTGCTGGAGGTTGAAGCAGCTACTCTGTATAAAAATGAATGCATTGTGCCTCTTATCACAAATCAGAAAGAGGAATTCACTGTTAAGCAAATGAGGCCACGACTTAGGAAGGCTGTGTGCTGATACTAGGGCAGCATGGAGACAGTGACTTACTATGATTCTTTATCCTTGAGTGCCAACAGGGTACGCAGGGTGGCATAAAAGAAGATATGGGTGCTGCCTTAAGGAGCTTACAAGCCACTGCAGATTCACATCTCAGAAAAGGCTACCATAGGCTCTTATCAGCTCGAGCAGAGAGGATGCTCTATTGATGAGGCTTTTGATAAGGGACTTCTGCATTCAAGTCCCTCAGCTGGGTGCTTACACAGCCAGATGGTGCAAATGGCCAAATTGGCATCTGCACAGCCACCTCCACACGGCCAACATGTCCGGACCTGCTCCACAAATGCTGCACCAGGAGGCAGTTGTTTTGATCTACAGAATGGCACCCTCTGCACATGCTATACATGTGAGGTTGTGCTGTGCAGACGGTGCCATTTTGTAGATCAAAAGGGCGGCTTCCTGGTGCAGCATTTGTGGAGCAGGTCTGGACAGGTTTAGGTGCAGACAGCATCATCTCGCAGGCTGAATCTGGCCTGTTGGACCCAGAACCCCATCTGCTGATGGCGCGACCCTATTTGGGGTCACAACTCACAGTTTGCAACCTATGTGTTAGTGACTCTAGACTCTTAGGATACATCTATACTGCAGCTGGGAGTGTGCTTCCCGATGCGGGTAGGCAGACATGCTAGCACACTAGCTTTAATGGAGCTAACAATAGCAGTGCAGCCGGGGTAGCATGGGTGGCAGCTCGAGCTAGTCGCCCAAGTATATACTCAGGGAGTCCGGGCAGGTTGAACTCAGGTGGCTAGCCCAAGCTACCCCGGGCTACACTGCAATTTGTCGCACACTAGCTTGAGCAGAGCTAGCTCGTGTCTGCCTGCCTGTGCTTGGAAGCACTCTCTGCTGCAGTATAGATATACCCTTAGAATGGAGGACTCCTTGAAACAAATATAAGATGCGATACAAATGGTGTTATTTTGTTTTAATTGGATTGTGTATGTTCTTTCTCAAGGCTACTAAAATCTGTCCATCACAACCCTTCAAAGTTTGGGATTCAGGAAGATAAACTGAAGCCGTTTGAGAAGTTGTTATTAAAACTGGAAGGCCAGTTACTTGATGGGATGATATTCCAGGTAAATAAATTTAGATTAACACACATTCCACAGTACTGTGGGGAAGCTGTATCCTAGGGACTTAATTTCTAAAATGTTGTATAATAGGATATTGATCTTCTGTAAATGCTTTGATTTTCTTTAAACTGGATATGATTTAACTTCAGATATTTTCCTTACAGCTACAATATTTCTGATTTTGAAAGTATTTGTTAAAACATGAATCATACCCCTTAATCATCATCAGGCTTGTACATATGACAAAATAACTTGTGGCTAAAAGGTAATTGCACCTTTCTTGTTCAGCCCAGAAATGTGCAAGTTCATAGCTAGTATTTCTTGCCATGGAGAAAAACCTGAAACATGTTTGAAAATACAGTTTAAATACATATTGTTTATAAGCCTGCTGGTACCTGTCTTATTGAAAAGTGATTGCATTTGTGACGCTGAAGTTTTAGCCAGATTTATGATATTGACAGAGCATAGGGAAAATTATGTGTTGATCAAACTAGCTGGCGCACTGAACAGTAAATTATGAATTCACAAAACAGTGCCAATAATGAGCCCAGACCTGCACTTCTGTTGTTGTCACTGGGAGTTTTTTCTGAGTAAGAAATGCCATACTGCAATCAGGTTTGTAACAAGAATTTCATGGATGTGGACACAGTGGAAAAATGAAAATAGACACATGCATGGAATTAAGCGACAGGTCGCAACTTTTATTAAACTTTAATACAAGTGTGGGGTGCTACCTGCCCATCACCTACACTCTCCTATACCAGGCATTTAATTGGTTCCAGTGCGGGAGTTACAGGGCTTCGAACCATATAACCCATTATGGTGGGTAACACTCTTGAGTCTATCCCCCAGGATTCTGCTCTGAGTCCAAGCACCCTCCCCCTTTCAGGTGCAGCAGGATGGGGACCATGAAGACCACAAGGTCTCCACTTACCACATGAGCCTAAGGCCCATCACCAGGTCTGTTACCTCTGGGAACCATTCATTGTATTCTCTCAACTGTACTGGAAAGCAGCTTCAAGTTGCAACAAGTAAACAGCACCACCCAGTACCTCAGTTAGGTATCATGCGCGTTCCTACTTAACCCACTGTGGCTTGCAGGTGCTGCGAGCCAGGCACAAAACTCCCTGGTCCTCCACCAATTGGCCCCTGGGAGGAAAAGTTCCTAAACAGGCAGTTGGCTAGACCTACAGCATCTATCCGGCTGAGTTCCCATTCCTCATTTTGGTGGGTAGGGTGGGCTGCTGGAACGGAGTTGAAACAGGTTCCACGTGGCCCCTGCACTGGGCTAAATCCTGGGAGTTGAGGAATGCTGACCAATCAGCACACCTCTCCACCAGCTGGCCAATGGGTGCCTGAGGCTCCCAGTGGAGGAGCTACCTATTGTCCCTTGGCGAGTGTCTCCCTTCCTTGCTGCTGGGACTGTCCCCACTGATTCAGGCAGGTGGCATGTAGCGATGGCAAATAATTTAATTCTACAGGCATGAATAGTCTTTCAAGCCAAAAATTCCTTGTTTTTCTTTTACAACTTAACAGTCTTGGATATTTTGACTTAAAACTGTGTGGAGATCTTTGTTTTAAGTAAAATCTTTCTTAAACTTTAAATATGGAAATTAAAGGGGCTCAGATGGTGGGAATCAGTGTAGCTGCATTGTCTCAGAGGAACTATGCTGAAATACACTATACACAGGATCTGGCCCTTAATACTTAAATTTGAAATTGTAAACAAGCCTTGAAACAAGATAGACATTTCACGTTATGTTACGTTTAGGTCTTTTCTAATTGTTATATCCTAATTAATGTCAGTCCCCTCCTCCTACGAATAACCTCCTAGATGCCAATTGTAAGTACACTTCATTGTCAAACACAGTTCAGTTTATTCAGCGAGAAATGCTTCTTACTTCATGGAATCATATTGCCAGCTAGCTAAGAAGAATTTTCCATTTTAATTCTCTCCAATGTCACATTTACACAAAGACTTTATTGTATGTTTAATTTGGATGGCTCAGTGGGAATTTGTCCGGTATGGAAGCAAGACAGCTTTTTTCCTCCTTGACCAGAACAAAGAACGTGAAGAAAATATTAAAACTAAATTATAAATCTAGTAAATATTTTCCATTATATCCACCAACATACTTTTGCTCTTTCCTTACTAAGGTTACAATATCATGTCTGTCCTGTTGTTGAACATTTCAGCTTCATGATTCACATCCTAAAAACAAATGAGACAATACCCTTGATCAGCCAAGAGCTTTTTAGTAATGTATTTTATTCTGGAAATGCATATAGTCTCCCATAACTGAGTTGTCTGAGTGCCTTACATAAGCAAAACCAATCAATAACAAAACATAAAGCCCACATTCTTGCTAAAAAAAAAAAAAAAAAAAAAAGTCTTATCCCCTAATACTAAAATTCATTCAGTGTAATGAACCAGACAAAACACATTTGAACATTGACTTCAGCTGTGTTTTAAATTGAAACTGTGACTTTACAGATTCATGCTATGAGACAACCTATTTGCAATAACAATATTCATTGGATGCCCAGACTTCATGGAATTAGCATTGTAAATGAGTCTTGTTTTCTTTCAGGCCTGTATAGAACAACAGTTTGACTCTCTCAATGGAGGAGTGGCTGTCTCGAAGAATAGCACTTTTGCCGAAGAGTTTGCACATAGTATTCGCACAATTTTTGCAAATGTTGAAGCCAAACTTGGTAATTCAAGATGTGCTTTTTTTCATGCGGACTTCATTGTTTGTAAAAGTTTTTATATTGTTTGTCTAGAAACAGATTTCAAAAATATTTTCTTCTGTATGTATTTATACAAGGTGAATCCTCAGAAATTGACCAGAGAGATAAGTACGTAGGAATTTGTGGTCTCTTTGTACTGCATTTTCAGATTTTTCGGACAGTAGACAAGAAATTTTACAAATCGTTACTGGACATTGGCAAAAAGGTGAAGATTTTGCTGTTTCCTTTAATAATTTAAAAAATATATTAAAAGCAAAATGAATTTAAATATATTTTAGTTTTTATTAAAATGCAGTTTGGCTAGGTTTTTCAAAAGTAAAACATAATTATTCTGAGTACAAAAGGAGATTTTGTCTACCTCATCTCCATTTCTTTGCTATCGGTATTTGATGTATCAGCTTTAATATTAGTCTAACTTTTTAAAAGCTTATTTTTTGATAAGTTAACTTGTTTACTCTCTTGATGGTTTTAGATTGGGTTACAAACTTGGCTAAGTTACAAAAGTGAAATGTTTTGATTTTATTAAAGATAGTTAATGTTCTTGAGAAAAAATATTTTTTTATTGTGGTTTCTGTATATGTATTTTTTCTAATACATTAGGGGATTGAGAAAAGACTTTGTACCTTAACACTTTGGCCGTAAGATGTTACCGTTTCTTGGCATTAGTGGAAAATGGAAAATCTTGGCTACAGTAGAATTTATTGTAGCTCGTTCAAAATACATGAACATATGAGCAGTGCATGGCTTAACACACCTGAGAAACATTTACAATAATAATTCTGCATATTGATGTAAATATATGCTTTTCAGGGCAGGAACTTTTTTTTCCCCACATAGCACTTGTGCTGCATACAAGGAATAGTTGATTAATACTGTTAAAGTTTTGCACTCTTTCTGATGTATAACAAATAGTTCAAGTAAAAAGGTTCTGAGCTTGTGGGGGGTGGTATAATGTTGATTTTTAGATTTTTGTAACTGGAATTAATTTCATGTCAATCATAATTATTAGGAATTGCTATCCTGTTTGTTTGATTTTAATTTTTTCTCCTCTTTTGGTGCTCTAGGTGCCAGCCATCACATTAACTGCTAATATTATTTGGTTTGCTGATAACTTTCTGATCCAGAAAATGCCAGCTGCTGCCAAACTTCTGGACAGGAGAAGCCATCATGCGATTAAAACTCAAAGGGAGAATTTTCTACAACAGAAGGCTCAGTTACTTACCAAGTAGGTTTTATAAAGGACTGCACCTTTTGAGATACTGCTTATTATCATTAACAAAATTAGAAGAACAGAGATGAACATGATATATTGGGGAAAAGTCAACATGCCTTTTGCAAAGGGAAATCATGCCTCAGTCTGTTAGAATTCTTTGAGGGTTTCAACAAGCATGTGGGCAGGGAGATCCACTTGATAATAGCATACTTGGACTTTCAGAAAGCCTTAAACAAGGTCCCACATCAAACACTCTTAAGCAAAGTAAGCAGTCATGGGATAGGAGGGAAGGTCCTCTCATGGATCTGTAACTAGTTAAAAGATAGGAAACAAAGTATAGGAATAAACAGTCAATTTTCCCAATGGAGAGAGGTGAAATAGCAGGGTCCCCCAAGGATCTGTACTGGGACCAATGCTATACAACATATTCATAAAAGAGCTGGAAAAGGGGATAAACAGGTGGCAAAGTTTTCAGACAATACAAAATGACTCAATAGTTAAGTCCAAAGCTGTCTGTGAAGAGTTGCAATGGGATCTCACAAAACTAGGTGACTGGGCAACAAAATGGCAGATGAAATTCAATGTTGATAAATGCAAAATGTAATGCACTTTGGAAAAATTAATTCCAGTGATACATACAAAATGATGGGCTCCAAATTAGCTGTTACTACGCAAGAAAGATCTTGGAGTCACTGTGGATACTTCTCTGAAAATATCTGCTCAATGGTCAGCACCAGTCAAAAAAAAAAGTTAACAGAATGTTAGGAACTATTAGGAAAGGAATTAGATAAGACAGAAAATATCATCATGCCACTGTATAAATCCATGGTACGTTCACACCTTGAATGCTGTGTCCAGTTCTGGTCACTCCATCTCAAAAAAGATATATTAATATTGGGAATGGTACGGAGAAGGGCAACAAAAATGATTAGGGGTATGGAACAGCTTCCATATGAGGAGAAGTGATTAAAAAGACTGGGACTGTTCAGTTTAGAAAAGAGATAATTAAGGGGGAATATGATAGAGGTCTATAAAATTATGAATGGCATTGAGAAAGTGAATAGGAAAAGTAATATTTTTTTATTGGACCCACTGCTGTTGGTGAGAGAGACAAGCTTTTGAGTTTACACAGAGCTCTTCTTCAGGTCTGGGAAACGTACTCAGGGTGTCCACTCAGTTGTGATGCACTGAGTACATTTCCCAGACCCGAAGAAGAGCTCTGTGTAAGCTCAAAAGCTTGAGTCTCTCCCCTACAGAAGTTGGTCCAATAAAATATATTACCTTACCCACCTTGTTTCTCTAATACCCTGGGACCAACATGGCTACAACACTGCTGGATACATAGGGGAAGTGTTACTTAATCCTTCACATAATGCAAGAACCACGGTCACCCAGTGAAATTAATAGGCAGCAGGTTTAAAACAAACAAACATAAGGATGTAGTTCATACAACGCATAGTCAACCTGTGGAACTCCTTGCCTGTGGATGTTGTGAAGGCCAAAAGTGTAACTGGGTTAAAAAAAGAACTAAATCATGGAGGACATGTCCATCAATGACTATTAACCAAGATGGTCAGAGATGCAACCACATGCTCTTGGTGTTCCTAAACCTCTGACTGCCAGAAGCTGGGAGTGGATGAAAGGAGATGGGTCATTTGATAATTGCCCTGTTCTGATCATTCCCCCTGAAGCATCTGGCACTGGCTACTGTTGGAAGACAGGATACCGGGCCAGTTGGACCATTGGTCTGACCCAGTGTAGCCATTCTTATGTTCTTAACTTTTAATGAATTTTTAATAATATCCAGTGTAATCAGTATATCCATCCTCTACAACTACAGTATTTAAAACAAATTGTACAATACTGAGTCAGGCATTAATATGGTAACAGATGATATAGATTCTTTGTTTTATGGTTTAAACTTGGTAAAGCTTTTTACCCTGAAATAACTTAAATTTTTTTTGCACAGTTTATTTTTGCAGATTTATTCACTACTTTAATTTAAAAAAAAAAAAAAAAAAAAGTAGTGCATCTGAGTGGGCTATTTATTCAAGGTATTAACAATGAGATCTTATGCAACATGGCCTTCTTTTAAAAAAAAATTGGAGGACTGAAATACCAGGAGATCTAAGTTTTAATTTTGACTCTGACTGACTTGGATTCATTGTTCAAGCTTGTGCAAGTTTCTTAACTTCTGTTTCTTAGTCACCCCACTTGTCACATGCAGGCTAATACTTACCTTATGGAGCATTTAAGGTTGTGTTTGAGGCACTCTAGTACCCATTGCAAAGGGAGCAAAGTATTGCATTTGGAGACTGAATATTCCTATGCATTTTCCTTGGGAGGGACTAGCTATCGATGCTTGGTAACGGCATTCAGCTGCTCTCTGAAGTGAGTAACCTATTTTTCTTTCTCCAGAGAGATGCAGTCATATTATGTCTTTGTGAGCTCATGGATGACAAAAATGGAATCTATCTTGTCTAAGGAACAGCGGATGGATAAGTTTGCTGAAGACCTTTCTAACAGATGTAATGTCTTTATACAGGTGGGTTATTTCTTACTATGCTGCTAGTTTAATTATATGTAGTGTAGTTGTGCTGCTTTTTGCATTAAGAACTGGGTGATTAGAAGGAAGCTAGTGAGTACTGAAAACGAATCATAGAAGTTACGTGGTTGTTTCGGCATTCCCTTGCAAATGCAGGGTTTGTCCGTGCAATATGTTCTCAAATGTGTTGTCCAGTCTAGTTCTTAATAGAACTAGAATGGTATAGAATAGAATGGTAGAAATGGGGCTTTCCGGGAAGTGAAAAAAGTAATAATATGTCTGACTGAATCTTCATGGGCTGAAGCTGGAATCTTTCCAATGAAGCTTCAGTGATTTCCCAAGGTCGTTCCCATTTCCCATTCAAGTAGTCTTTCTCAAGAATAATGTCAATGCTGAGATGCTTACATTGGGGCGGGGATGGCAGTCTAATTTAGTTGTATTTATCATATTCTTATTTCTGGCAACAAGTTCCAGGCTATTGCCTAATTGTGTTGCACTCAACGACAGTGCTTTGGGATAATCTCTTTAGCATCTGATGCAGTTAATTTTCTCTTCTGGTAAGAGTGCATAGTTTTGCTGTATGTGTACATGATTCCTGCATTTATTTCTTGCACATTTTGTATGCAGCTTCCTGACAAAACGTTGATTGAAAATAAATGCAAGTTTAATAGAGAATGTACAATAGACACACAACATTAGTGTCTTCCCCATTCATTTGTAGCAGCTCTGTCCTCACTTCTGCCTTTGTTGATGGATACTGCTAGTTCCAGGCTTCGGTATCAACTGAATTTTTTCCTTCTGAGCTCATAGTATACATGAAAAGTGTTTTTTTTTTTTTTTATACTTAAACTCTCCTTAAAATGAGAATAAATAAAGAATTAAGGATCTGAAGATATCCCAATGGGAGGATCTATTCTTCTCATTTTGAGTAATTACTTTTAATATGCTGTGATACTTTTCTCTATACCAAATTGAAAGTTTCACCTTTAACTTGCTATATTTCTCCAAGTTTTTGCTGTATTCCATTTGAAAGTTGTATTTTGAATACTTGGATGCTGTTCTGGACTTTCTGGATGTAGCCTAAATTGATTGAAAGAGTTTGGCACATTTTAATGTCTATGTTAGTGATATTCTTTGTTTTTTTTTCAGTTTTCCCTTCCTTTGTTTTTTATTATGAAATTTGGATTTTTAAAGAAGTTGTAGAGGTTTACAATGACTTCATATCTTACTGATTTCACTTATCTCTTGGGGACTTTGCAACTGTTTTTGCTCATCCTAGTCCAATTTCTCCATCTTGATGCCTCTCTTGGTTGGGTTTAGTGTGACCAGATAGTAAGTGTGAAAAATCGGTACACCTTTTTTGTGGGTGGGGGTGGCAGGGCCGTATAGTTGTGTATATAAGACAAAGCCTCTGGTATCGGGACATCTGGTGACCCTAGTTGGGTTACAGTGAACTCGAACTGTGGTTAGTCTATCTGAATGGTTGGTTGATTGGCTTGTGATTTAATTGTATTGATTGTTTCTAAAGCTATAGTTAGCTGATTTAATGACTTGCAGATTCCTTTGCAGCTTCATAATTACAAACTAACTGACAGATATTCACTTCCAGTTTCACGTGACTATACAAGTTATGCTCTGGAGGGCTAGTGAAAAGGCAGGAATTTATGTTCTGTATGGTAATAAAAAAAATAGAGAATATTTACTTGTCTGAAATTACTGTGGAGTTTCTTTTTTTTCCCCCAATTTGTTTCTAGGGTTTTCTTTATGCTTACAGCCTTAGCACCATCATTAAAACCACAATGAATCTCTACATGTCAATGCAAAAACCTATGACCAAAACCTCAGTGAAAGCATTATGCAGACTTGTGGAACTTCTCAAGGTAGGTTATAGGATTGGCATTATGATTTCATTTAAGCATCATCATACAGCTGCTGTGAGACACCACATGCAAAGAACGGAGTGATAGAATGTGTCAAAGTGACTTCTAAAAGTTTGGATGGGATGGAGGAGAGAAAGGGAAAGTATATTTATGTAATTTCTAAACACCTCCACAGTTTGCTTTTTATCTCAATCCTCTTTTTTTGCAGGGAAAGATGTTAACTGTTTTGAAGAGTATCTTTCTAAAGTTGAGCTGAAATAGAGAAAACATATAGGGCTAAGATTTTTAAAGAGAAATGGTTACCTCTAGTTAGAGTCTGAAAACCATATATGGACACCTTAATAAGTGGCCTGATTTTTTGCAAAAGTTTTGGGTGTTCAGCATTTCCAGTTAATATAAAATACAAGGGTGGTGAAGGGAAATCCTATATTGCCAGGTGGACAGTGTGGTTAGTATAGAAAGAAATTACTTAGATTGTCACTTTATAATTAATATGAACCACTGTGTTTTGGAACTGATGCAGGCAATAGAACATACATTTTACAGAAGAAGTATGGTTGTGGCAGATTCTGTGACACACATAACTCAGCATCTCCAGCATCAGGCTCTTAACTCTATTTCTATAGCCAAGGTATGTAATCCAAGTTTCAAGGTATGGAATCCTATGTCACCCTCAATCATTTTATTTAATCTCTCATTCCAAATCAAAATTATTCGCCTGATTTGAAACTGTCTGTGGTCTCGCTCCACCCTGTCTATTACGATTTCTATTGCTGCTATTATTATTATTATAGCATTTAAGAACCCCAATCAAGAATCGGGGCCCCATTGTTCTAGGCACTGTACTGACATGAACAAAGATGATAATCCTGTTATATCGCTCCTCTTTCTTCCACCAGTGGCACACACTCTCTCTACATTCTTCTATTCACTTGCTCCTCTTATCTTGGCCTTGTTCTGATCTTTTCCTGTGACTAGGGCTATCAAGCGATTAAAAAAATTAATCGCGATTAATCGCGCTGTTAAACAATAATAGATTGCCATTTATTTAAATATTTTTGGATGTTTCCTACATTTTCAAATATATTGATTTCAATTACAACACAGAATACAAAGTGTACAGTGCTCACTTCTTATTTATTTTTTATTACAAGTATTTGCACTGTAAAAAAACCAAAAAAATAGTATTTTTCAATTCACCTAATACAAATACTGTAGTACAATCTCTTTATCATGAAAGTTGAACTTACAAATGTAGAATTATGTACAAAAAATAACTGCATTCAAAAATAAAACAATGTAGAACTTTAGAGCCTGCAAGTCCACGCAGTCCTACTTCTTGTTCAGAGGAGATAATGCTGCCCGCTTTTTGTAGGCTCTGAAGCTTTACATTGTTTTGTTTTTGAATGCAGTTATGTAACAACAACAACAAAAAATCTACATTTGTAAGTTGCATTTTCACGGCAGATTGCACTACAGTACTTATATGAGGTGAATTGAAAAAATACTATTTATTTTTTGCCATTTGTACAGTGCAAATATTTGTAATAAAAATATGTACACTTTGATTTCAATTACAACACAGAATACAGTATATATGAAAATGTAGAAAAACATCCAAAATATTTAATAAATTTCAATTGGTATTCTGTTGTTTAACTGTATGATTAAAATTGCAATTACTCGCGATTAATTTTTCTAATTGCAATTTTTTTTAGTTAATCACATGGTGCTGTTTGTTCATTTAGCCTACCTGTTCTTTGTTACTTTATTACTTTACTGTTACTTTATTAAACTGATTTGTGATGGTATGTATAAGCATGCACACTGTTACAGTTTTAGGGCTTCACATATACAGTACTTTCAATGATTACTATATAATGTTAAACTTCTTTGAAAGGAAAGTGTAGGACAAATTTAATGCTTATGGAAGTGCCAGTTGCCTGATATCAAATGTACACAGGTGCTGTGCACGCTTCCCCAGAAGTGGGACCAATGCACCTCACTTGGAACACTTGCTGTCCTTGGATTTCTGAATTACGTTATGTGGGCAAAGGGAAAAATGGGATTTCAGCTTAGCTCTCCTGATGTGAAATGCTAGTATATATGTTCTCTTGCAGCTGAACTCCAATTTGCATGATGTAAATGGTACTATTGGATTTTCCATTTCTCCTGTGTGTGCGCATAATTCTGCTCAGTGTTAAATACATTACATATTTAAACAGTAGATGTGCATATTATTCAGATTCTTACTTAATATATGTAACAGAAACTTAGCTATAATCTAGCACATCTCCTCTATCACATTTTGAGTATAAATAAAATGTTTGTTTTAGTTTAATAAACAGATCTAACACATTTCAAGGGTATCACTGTTGAACAGAGAACCAGCAAACCTGTCTGAAACAATAAAGCTGCTATGAAAATTACACATGCTTTAAAAATGGGCAATACCCATATGATCAGATAATTGTTCTATAGTTTTTTTACAGCTTTAAATAAATTCCAAGCTTAAAAAATAGCAATATGATCCAAGCGCATTAAAAGATTTGTATGTCAAACAGCTACCAGGAGATTACCCCCCCCCTTGTATGAATAGATTGATGTTTAATTCCTTTTTTAAAAGGTAAACAAAAGGCTCACATCAGTAAACAACAGCATAAAGTCACTTACTGCAGGCCCTCTGTGGTACTTGCTAATCTGTTAATGTGCTGTTCCAAATGAATGCAGCATTAGGGTGTACGTAGTGTATTCCGCAGCACAGTAGTTGTTTTGCTGCATGTACCTGGAGCATCTGACATCACTGAAGGGGAAGAGTTTCAAGCTGAGCATATATCCTTATAATCAGAGAAGGAAGTCTCTCCTATGGCACCAAATCTTTCAGGGAGTCGTACCTCTTTTTTGAATCAAATCCATACTCCTAAATATGAGCCTAGCTTCCTAACCAGTCACTGATCACGTTCCCACTGAAGTCCATTGCAAAAAATTCCACATACTGCAGTGGGAGCAGAATTGGGAGCTCACTTTGGCAGTTGGTCCTTGCTATGTTTTTCCACTTATACAATGTCATAGAAAAGTGCAGGTTGACTTGGGGACCTTCTTCACATGTGCACTTATAGATTTGTGGTTATTCAGCCCATAAAGTTGGGCACTGCTGGATTTCTTCCTAGTGAAAGAAAGCGCTCCTACAGGAACACTAGGGATGGTGTATATAACAGAAGTGATGTGTTCATGCAAAGCTATGTGCAGGCTTGCACAATGCCTGTTTACGTATACCTGTCTTATGCCAGTGCTGAGTTATGTATATTTACCAGCATTTACAATAGAGAATCCAATTAAATTTGGGGGAGGAAGTAATCTGGATTCACTTAGCTTGGTTCAAAAAGCCTAATTTATAGAATATTACTGGAAATGGTGTGACAAGTGCCCAGATTTTCAAATAAAAGAATAGGCTGCTGCTTTTGGTCTCTGATAACTTTTCCATGAATATAAACTGTGAGCTGCTATTTTTGTTTCTCCCATCAAGAAAAGAGTAATTTCTGACAAAAAATACAGTGAGCAGCGCCTGGATGTGCTCTCTGCTCTGGTATTGGCTGAGAATACCCTCAACGGGCCAAGTACAAAACAGAGGCGCCTTATTGTTTCCCTTGCACTGAGTGTGGGCACACAGATGGTAAGTGCAACTATTGCTCAAACCCTCACTACTGTGTGTTACCTTGTTAGCTGTAATAAACAGCTTTTTCACTCAACTGTTGTGACAACTTTAAAAGTAATTGTTATTTTCCAATTAAACAATAAATGACTCTGCCCATTTTCCTCGGCTGTTTTTTTTTTCTTAACAGAAAACATTTAAAGATGAAGAGCTGCTTCCCCTCCAAGTAGTTATGAAGAAACTGGACTTAATCAGTGAACTTAAGGAGCGGTAAGCAGCACAAAAGGATGGGGGGAGGGGAGAAAGCAGTGTCGGCTCGTGTGTTGAGCTTTCGTGATGCAGTTTATGAAATCTTGCAGGATGTTCTGTGTTCTACACTTAGCTACATATAATTGATTGTTTTCATGTACATTGAAGACCAGGGTTGGCCAGCATGTGGGCCACAGAATTCTATAATGACGTCTGTGGCTTCCCTAATCTTTAATAAGGAGGAGTAGCTTGCAGAAATGCAGGTCTTGTTGACTGGTGCACCCTGCTTTTTGTTTGATCTGACATGGACCATCACTTTTGGAACCTATAACCTCCTTGGTTTTTATACCTCCATATTAAAGATTAGGCTTCCTGCAGTATGTTGCATTTTACATAAACACCTCCCTCCTAAACTGCTATAAATTGTAACTGGCTGTGAAATGTTTAGCAATGATTTTGTGCAAACACTGCTATACGCAGATTTTATTCATAGAACCTTGATGGTCTGTGGACCTACACATATACTTTGGACATGTCATGTAAACGCCAGTAATGTAAATGAATTTGTACCATGACACTGTACCTTCTTAATGCTTTATAAATTGTCAGCATTTTCAAGTTCAGTATCTACTACTAGCATCAGTGAGGAAGATGCTTGTCTGCATGTGGCTCAGTATTCTGGCACTGTTGAACAGTGCCGGCTCCAGGCACCAACGAAGGAAGCAGTTGTTTGGGGCGGCCAACGGAAAGGGGCGGCACGTCCAGGTCTTCGGCGGTGGGCCCCTCAGTTCCTCTCTTCCTCTTTGAGCTGCCGCCAAATTGCCGCTGAAGAGGAAGAGAGGGAGCGAAGGACCCGCTGCCGAATTGCCACTGAAGAATGAAGCGGTGCGATTGAGCTGCCGCCGAAGTGCTTTATCTTTTTTTTATTTTATTTTTTATTTTTTTTCGCTTCGCTGCTTGGGGCTGCAAAAAAGCTGGAGCCGGCCCTGCTGGTGTACATCATCTGATCAGAGACAAGAGTAATTCCTTTACTATAATGTTGCTGTAGGAAGCATAAAGATATCATTACAGAGGTTAGGTATGGTATACCCTGAAACAGCATTTCAGTAGCTTGATATGGTGCTTACAGATATGATAGTGAAAATGGGCATCCATTTATCAAAGAGCTTACATTTTCTTTTGAAGGCCAGTGGAAAAATAATAAATACCATGTACATGTGTCTTGAGCATTAGTGCTATGAAATAACCTGTGGCGTAGATGATCGTAAAAAACAAAAAAGGGGGCAGTGCTGCAAAAATATGGTCTTGCTGACGTGCAGTTCACCATCCTTTACATGTTCTTTTGCGCTGCTTCGGGTTTTGTTTAATAACGAATATCTTGCATTTTAGCGTCCGAACACAGTGTGATTGTAGCTTCTTGTACTGGCATCGAGCAGTCTTCCCAATTTATTTAGATGATGTGTATGAAAACGCAGTTGATGCATCTAGATTGCAGGTAAATACGAAATACCCCTAATTGTTCAGTTACAGTGGCTTGTTGAACTGGGGAGGCGGGGGAAGAAAACCCTTAAAATTGTAAAACAGTTAAAAATCACAAGTCCAGTGTTACAAATAACTGAGGCTGAGATTTTTAAGAGCATTAAAGGGGTTAGATAGACTTATCTTCCCTTTAAAATTAATGAAAGGCATGTCTGATAAACTGCTCTGAAAATCTCAACCAGTACTTTAAATAGTAGGCATCACTTACAATGGTTTGTCTGTCTCTCCTTACCCTGCCCCTCAGTCATTTCATTTCTTAAATTAAGGTCTTTGGCAGATTTAAAACAAAAAATGGAAAAATCTTAGTAATCTTTTGATTCAGTGTGCATCTATTTTTATATTTAGGTATTTATAAGGTACTTATTACCTGGGTTCCAAAGGATTGCCATAGGGGCCATACTGGAGTTTTATCCCCTCCTTGTGCAATATTGCATAACTAGATAATTGCATTATAACTTTTTTTTAAAACTGACTCAGAAGCATCCAATACTGGCTTTTACCAGGGATGAACCACTGGTCCAGGATGTTAAACTTGATGAATCACTTGTCTGATCCACTATGACGAATTTATGTTTAATCACTATTTTAAGTAATGGACTTGCAAAAGGCTAGAACTGAATACTTGTTAGTTAATCTAATGATTGGGGGGGCGGGGACGATAACAGATAGTCAATTCAAATTGGCTTACAGTACTTAACATTCTTTCCTTCATTGTTTTAAGATAACTGAATCCATCAGTCTTCCAGTCAGGGCCGGCTCCAGGCATCAGCTGAGCAAGCTGGTGCTTGGGGTGGCAGATTGTTGGAGGCGGCATTCTGCCCAATCCTAGGGCGGCACGGCAGCTTTTTTTTTTTTTTTTTTTTTTGGGTTCTTGTTCCACTCCGGCTGCCCTGTAGGGGGCGGCGGCTCGGAGAACCAGAGCGCCCTGCAGGGCAGTCCTCTTCCTTCCCTCCCCGCCAACTGGAGCGGAGCCCTCCCGGGAGGGGCCGCATAGCAGCGCCCCTGCTGTAGCCCTGGCCACCCCCTTCTCTCTCTCTCCCGCCCCCCACCAGCCCCCCTGTACCCGCGCCCCGGCCGCGCCCCCGGCTTTTTTTTTTTTTTTTTTTTGCTTGGGGCGGCCAAAAAGCCAGAGCCGGCCCTGCTTCCAGTCACACAGATTATTTTTAAAAAGCTTAAAGCTACAGTATGTTAGGTTTTACATTATTGTAGTGACTAGTCATATGAAATAAAATCAACTAGAAAGTGATCCTTGTTCTTTGGATTTGAGATTTTAAACTGTTTAAATTGGGCAGATTTTAGCCTTCACATGCTAAATATTTTGAGATGTTTGTTGACATGTTTGTCTTATGGTTTGCATATTAGTTTCTTTCTGGTTTTTTAGTACATGTTTAGTGCATTACGGGACTGTGTTCCTGCTATGATGCATTCAAGACACTTGGAGTCCTGTGAGGTACTTCTGGAGTGCTATGACAAAGAAATCATGGAAGTTTTAAATGAGGTAATTGTACAAGTTCGGGGTTTACTGTGAGTGGGGTCTAATGGTCACAGTTTATTTGGCTTGTGTATTAAAGTCAGCTTTTATATAAAACCTATATAGAAGTCTTTGAGACTGCTGTGAAGTATGGTGATAAATGAGAAAATGAACATTTTCTCAATCTCATGTTCTTACATGGCCTTGTTACCATAGTATCTGAGTACCTCAATCTTTAATATATCAATCCTCACAGTATCCCTGTGAGTTAGAGAAGGGCTATTACCCCCATTTTACAGATGCTGACCCACAGAGAGACTAAATAACTTGCTCAGGGTCACACAGGAAGAGCAGGGAATTGAACCCAGATCTCCCAAGTCCTTAGCTAGTGATTTAACCACTGGACCACTCTTTCTCTCTGTCCAGTTCCACAACAAATGTAATCTATTCTGGGATTCTAGAGAAATCTCAGACAAAATAATATATTGAAGGTTTTGCTAAACTGTACGAAGTCTAATTGGAAATGAACCACACCTTTCTTAGTAAATCACATCTGTTGTAGACTCATTATATAAACCAGAGGTTCTCAACCTAGGATTGCAAATAGGCACTGGTGGCTTGCAACCTCCCTGTCCATCACATATTGTTGGTCCCATCTGAGCTGTTGTAACAAACATGGTTTGAATTTGGTTGAAGCCAAATGGGTTTTTAAATTAGTTTGAATGGTTACAGTAATGGGGGTGTGTGTTTGCATGGAATGGATGGGCCTCTGCTTAAATCTAGGTAGGAACCACACTGGTGTAAAAAATTGTAGAAACCTCACTTGGCCACAAAAACATTCTAAATCCTCCTGATTAGTCAATGTAAATGGGTGTCCTAGAACTGACACTGTTCATTTAGAAGTTGGGCATCTCATATTATCTCTAATAACAGGTAGTTATCCATGTAGTTTCTGACTCAGTTTGACTACTAGGGCATCAACATGGCCTCTTTTGCTAGTGCTAGTTCCAGTCCCTGGAACTCTCTGAAATTTTCAAACAAGGACTTTCTGCTGCAGGTTCACCTATTTCTAAGGTGTAGTCACAGTCACTAGAGTCATTAGCCTTCTTGCTCTGTAGGCAAATTTCATCTCTCTTAAAATAGGATTTTGAATGGACTCTTAGCATCATTTTTGTCACTCCCTTGAATAGCACTTGCTGGACAAATTGTGTAAAGAAATAGAAAAGGATCTACGTCTTTCTGTGCACACACACTTAAAGCTTGATGACAGAAATCCTTACAGAGTTGGGATGAAGGATCTGGCCCACTTTTTCTCTCTGAACCCAATTCGATTTTTCAATCGGTTCATTGACATCAAAGGTAGGTTGCATTTAATACACTTTTTTTCCCCTCAACTCTTCTCCGCATCTCTTTAGTTTTTCTGATAATCCTTCTGGTATTCCTTTATTTTCTTTTTGCTTAACTATTTCCTTTATGGATTTCTGTGATCTCAGTTGCACCCTAATAATAGCTTAGATATACAAAAGTGGCGTTGCAAGCGTAATCCATAGTTGTTAATGTTGTGGCTCTTTACCCACCTCTAGTGGCTAGCTTATATAGAGAGGTTTAGGAGTTTGTTGCCTCTGAGCTAGTGGGCTTGGTCCTTCAGCTCAAGTTAGTAAAGGCTCATGGCTTTTAGATGCAGAGGTCCTGGGTTCAGTCCCCACAGATGACCCCACTAGGGCTATTGTTACAGTCTTTTCTTCGAGTGAACCCAGTTTTAAGTGCCAGTGCAAGAATTTATGGATTTTCCTTTTTTGTTTCTTTGTTATTCCCCAGCAATTTAAGAGCTGCAGTTAATAGTTTAATGCATACTTTATTATTCTTGATTTTACAGTTTATGTAACACACTACCTAGACAAGACCTTCTACAACCTAACAACTGTAGCTCTTCATGACTGGGCCACATACAGTGAAATGAGGAATTTAGCAACTCAGCGCTATGGCTTAATTATGACAGAAGCACATCTTCCCAGTCAGACTTTAGAACAGGTGAGGTATATGTGTGGGTATTGTATGTGCCACTTTATTCTGGAAGTCCTAGATAATTATTAAAGGCATTAACAAAGTACAGAAACTGAGGAACCCAAAATTAGAGGCCATTTTCTAAAATTTTTGCCTAGACGATTTACCCAAGACTAACAAGTCTGTAGCATAACCAAGGTAAAACTCCTGATTCCTAGACCCATACGTCTTCATTTTGAGCAGTGAAACGGTGTAATTAACAGTAAATGATTTTTTTTAAAAAAGTAGCTATTAATTTGTGAACCTTGAATATGGAGGCTTTTACATTTTTATTTGGAAGCTGAGAAAATGGTCCAATTTTTCCCTTTTTGCTTTGCACTTATTAGATATGACTAAAGAACCTTGACAATCAAAAATGTTAAAAGATACAAGCAAAAAACCTGAATTTTAATGTGACACTGACTATAAAATTCAAAACAAAACAAACAAACAAACCATAAAATAAATCTAGGCCCTGAAGTAGCCCAGAACAAATTGCAAAGATATTTTCACAAAATTGAAAGGAAAAGTGATGATTTTCATACATAACTAATTACTTTGCTTCCAAAAAGACTTTCAAGTAATTAATTTGCACAATTAGCAGTTACTTTGAATACATTTGAATGACTCCCAGGAGGCTGTTCTAATCCATTAAGGATTTTTGCCATATTGTTTCAGGGTCTGGATGTTTTGGAAATCATGAGAAATATTCATGTTTTTGTATCTCGCTACCTCTACAATCTCAATAATCAGGTGAGGTGTATTCTGTACTCCTATGGGTAGTTCATATCTGATTTTTATAAGCTTTGGTTTTGATATGGGGTATATGATGACCTTTTCTTTGCAGATCTTCATTGAGAGAACTAGTAATAATAAGCATTTGAACACTATCAATATCCGGCACATTGCTAATTCAATTCGAACTCACGGCACAGGAATCATGAACACAACAGTAAGTATCTTCTGGACTGTTTCTTTTTAATATGTACAGAACAGCGTCGGAACTCCAGCATTTCCTGACCTTTGAGTTTTTAACTGTGCAATTTTTAATATTGCACGAACATAGCTTTTTGTATTAAATATAACAAAGTAGTCCTCAAATACCAAGCAGTCAACATCAAAAGTCTCTTATGAGTTATATTACTGGTAGTTACTCTATAAAGTCAGATCTTTGTGCAAATGCCACAGCTGACAAGATGTTTAGAAATGTCCTGGAAGACCTCTGAATTGCCCTAAAGATGAAAATAAATGTTATCAAACAGAGGTATTATGTTTACAACACTTTAATTTCTAAATAATGGCCCTTATAATTAAAGTGCCATATATCGCTACTTGTTAAAGTTTGGTAGGATGGGGGTTTTATAGCATTTCATTTAAGCAGATCAGGAGAAATGTGATGCTGATGTCTACTAAGTCAACTTAGACTGCCATTTTAGAATTTGGGAAATGCAAGGTCATTTTTAAAGTGGCTTCTATGAAATATGTATTTCACTTTACTTTGGCTAAGATTTGTCATTGAGTTTTACTATTTCCTTCTTTCTTTAAATCTAGAGGCTGTTCTATGGTATGGGTTATTAGAGAGCTTAGGATTTCTAAATAGAATGAATGTAATGATCTTTGGCATAAGGACAGCAGTCTGGTAAAAATGAACACCATCCTATACACTGTAAATAACAGTACTGTGTTTATTGAGCCTAGTAAAGCTTTGCAGATGTTTGTTACAACTGAAATTTAATCTGTTTACATGTTGCATATTCATAGTAATTGAAGTAATTAAAAAACCTGGTGTGGTGCCAAAGCTTGACTGGAAAATCCAACTAACCCAAAAATGATCAAATTTTGGACTGCCACTCAATTTCTCACTCTCTTTACCCCTCTCTGTCTTTCTGTCCCATTCTTCCTACCAAGCCAGCACAACATAAGAACTTGATGAGCACTATGCACTGAAGGACAAGCACTTTCTCTAAGGCACCATGTACAAAATGAAAATGTTTAGAAATGAGGGTTCTTACTCTTTGTGGCAATGCAGGAAAGTGCTTGCTTTTACAAGCATGATGCTAATAATATGTTCCTCTCGTATTGGAGTTGGTTGTCTCAGAGATATCAGCGACTGATAGTTATCTTGCACGTCACAGTACTTCCTGGCCAGGCAGACGCCTCCTGCTTTATTCGCTTTTGCCTGTTGTCTAGATCGGGGTGGGCAAACTATGGCCCGCGGGCTGGATCCGGCCCCTCAGGGCTTTGGATCTGGCTCACGGGACTGCCACCCGTGGTGCCGCGGGCCCTGCGCCACTCTCAGAAGCGGCCGGCACCACTTCCCTGCGGGTCCCGGGTGGGGGTGGGGCAGAGGGCTCTGTGTGTTGCCCTTGCCTCCAGGCACTGCCCCCCCCCCCCTGCAGCTCCCATTGGCCGGGAACGGGGAACCGCGACCAATGGGAGCTTCAGGGGAGGTACCTGGAGGCGCGGCAAGGGCAGCGCACGCGGAGCCCTCCGCCACCCCTCCTCCAGGGGCTGCAGCGCTTCCTGGAGTGGCATGGGGCCGGGGACAGGGCAGGCATGCAGGGAGCCTGCCCTGGCCCCAGTGCGCACTGCTACCACCCCGGCGCCGCTTTAGGTAAGCGGTGCCGGGCCGGAGCCCAAACCCCGCCTGCACCCCGCCTCCAAACTTCCTGCCCTAAGCCCCCTGCCTGCACCTTGCACCCCAACTCCCAGCCCTGAGCCCCCTCGTAGCCTCACACCCCTCCTGCACCCCAACCCTGTGCCAGAGCCCTCTCCCGCACCCCTCCTGCACCCCATCCCCCTTCCCTGAGCCCCCTCATACACCCTGCACCCCTCCTCTGCCCCAATCCCTTGCCCTGAGCCCCTTCCTGCACACCGCACCCCCTCCCAGACCCCAACCCCCTGCCCCGGCCCTGCATACAATTTCCCCACCCAGATGTGGCCCTCGGCCCAAAAAAGTTTGCCCACCCACGGTCTAGATTGTCCACGCAGACCAGGGAATGAACTGTAACTTGGGGGGGGAAAAGAAGGGGGCAGTTAATTCCAAGGGACAATATTTTAGAAAATTTTGAGCAAGTGAAAAGAAGGTGGGAAGGTTATAATGAAACTTTGCATGTAATCTTAGCTATAGAATTTACTACAATGAAAGCAGACATTCAATGAGCTTCACTGTTGCCCCACTGTTATGAATCCTGGTCATGAGCCACCTGAGGCATGTTTCCCATACGCTAAAAAGAGGGACAGCAACTGGATACTCCAGAACTAGTTCCTATACTAGTCGTGAGCTTTAAAAGATCAGCCTATATTCCATGTTCCCTTTGCCCCCTTATTGGCCTTTCTAAAGGAAATTAAACCTTCCAACAAAAGATTTACCTTTCTTTAGGAAGAAAGTTGCTCAGGTTGAGTCTCTTTGAGATCCACAAAATGGGGCAGGCTGTGTTGAACTGTCCACCTACAAAAAATATGTCATAATATGGAATAAAAGCTTCAAGAAGCTACTGAATGATAGTCACTAGATAATCATGTTAATTTGAAAGGGTTTTTCTAATTCTGAATTTTTAATTTTACTGCAGGTTAATTTCACTTACCAGTTTCTGAGGAAAAAGTTCTATATCTTTAGCCAGTTCATGTATGATGAACATATCAAATCCAGACTGATCAAAGATATCCGATTCTTCAGGGAAGTCAAGGATCAAAATGATCATAAGGTACACTACCTTGGATAAACAATAACTTGATTAAAAACTGTGCTGCCTTTGCACTGAAAAGCTGATATGCACTGAACTACAAATGTCACTTTTTAAATAAAAGGAAAATTATATGTTTATAGACAAGTGGCACCTTCCGGTCTATCAAAATACAGTGTTGCAGTGTATACAAATTCCTGCATTGAGACTGGCTTATCTGATTCTAATTGCTTACTGAACACTAGATGGTACTCATCAGCAGGCACAACATGGCACTCCTTTGTATTATAGGATGGGGTACGCTTATTCTCTTGTTAACCTGATAATGATGCTTGGTGCAGATCTAGTCTAGTGTTGTTCTAAACCTCCAGTCCAAATCAAGTTTACCAAAGTTAAAATAAATATTCCTGTCTATTTTGTAATAGAGGTCACTGTTGACACTAATGCACAAACTTGGTATACGAGTACAGTAGCTATCCCTTTCTCAAGGCCTTGTGCCTAATTCTCATCTCCCACCATTGCACGTCTAATTCGGAAAAATTTGAGGCTTAATGTTTGGAATAAAAATGTACTGGAATGTTCTTTGTATGTAGTTTGCTCTTATAAGAAGAGTGCTGTCTTGTTTATATATAGCAGTAACAGATCTCATCTTTGCAATTTGCACACCTGACCTGGTCAAATGACACTTTCACAAACTACTATTCACAGACAGGGTTACACTTTCAAAGATTGAACAAGGAATGTGTGTGAATGTTTGTGGGGGGGTGGTGGAAGGTAAAATGGTGTTTGACATGAAAAGTCAAGTAGATTCTTCAAAGATCAATATTCTTACAAACTGCAAAAATTGTTTCTCTAGTATCCCTTTGAGAGAGCAGAGAAGTTCAACCGGGGCATCAGAAAACTTGGAATAACGCCTGATGGACAAAGTTACCTTGACCAATTCAGGCAGCTCATAAGTCAGATAGGTATGCATCACTGTATCTAAAAATATGGTACAAACATTTTAATGGCAGAGGTCTTTGTAATCCTATAACTACACTACTTATTTTACCTTTTTTTTAAGGTTGAAGCCCAAATTCAAGCCTGATATAAACAGGTGCACTTCCATTGAAGTAATTGGAGTTTTACCTAATTACACAAAAATAGGTCCTAAATGTTTTAATATAAGATGTATCTAGAGCTTGTATGAATGTTTTTGTTTTTTTTAATTTGCTTTGGGTTCAATTTTTATTTGTTTGACTGAGGCAACATTCATCCAGGTTGAGTATCTTTCCCACTAAATGAGAAGTACAGTTCTGTTAAACTCAGATACTTCAAAAGGTGTTTTGAATCAAATACAAATGTGTGCATATATTATAATAGTTAAATTTGATTTACTAGTTGTAGTAATACTTTTGGCACACTGATGCCACCAATGGTGTAGGGATCTAAAGCCTGATCTTACAAACATTTCCTGTATCTTACTGGACCTTAGTTAAGGAGTTTAAAATGTAGTGCGTGTGAACATAATCTCCTTAGATGAAGCCAGTCATGGCTCATGTTTTGTTCCTCTAGTTGGACTTTGTGCCATTAAACTCTAAAGTATCTGCATTTTTTCTCCATGTAATTAGCTTCAGAATATTTCTCTTGTAAAACCATTCTGGCTACCCCAAGGCATCAGAATTTCAGAGTTAACAGGGATTTTGAAATGTGTACATGTAAATATCTAACTTAGGTATGTTCCTGTTTTTCTTGTTTTTAAAGGCAATGCAATGGGCTATGTGCGAATGATAAGATCTGGTGGACTTCACTGCTGTAGTAGTGCAATTAGGTACCTACATGAATATATTTCATGCTGCTACTAATATTTTATATCCCTGTGCTACCCAATTCATACTGAGATTCCCTTAAGGACACTGTATAAGGATACAAAGGAATTGTATCTCTTGTCCTGCAAACTAGTTCAGAATCCCTTACATTGCAAAACCATAACCTTTTGTATAGTATAGCACATTACATAGGTGAGCTCTTAAAGACCAAAATGATTATTTATCATTGCATATAGTGCCATAGTGTACATAACATTTTACAGAGAGAACAGGACACAGTTTGTACCCTCCAAAGTTTACAAGCTAGGTGTTGTACCATATGGTATATGGCAGAAAAAGAGATGGCGTCAGGTGAGGGGAGTGGGTGGTTTATGGGCAGTATTATGAGGCTGGATGTTTTCTCAAGGTGTTCATCATGGTTTCCTCTTGTTTGTTAGCTATGATTTTATTTGGATGGTGTGGAAGTATGGGTCATGGTTGAAAGATGCTTTTGGAGGAGTGGGAGCTTGTGTAGCATATGAGATTGGGGAGGACACTGCAGGCATAGCAGGGCAGCATGGGACTGAGCGCAGAGATTCTTGTGGAAGAAAGATAGGAAGGGAATAAGGCTGGTAATGGAATTAACAGACCCTGGGTGAGAAAGAGATAGAAGATGTACGCAGAGCAGTGTCAGAGCCTTGAAGGCAAGGGTGGTTCATTGTGTAATTTATTTATAATTTAAGTTAATTGATGCATCAGTGAGTAAACCACAGTTAAATGTAAACCTAACACACAATAATTGTGTAGGTTTGTTCCTGACCTTGAAGATATTGTTAATTTTGAGGAACTAGTGAAAGAAGAAGGACTCTCAGAAGAGACACAAAAAGCAGCAAGGTAACCCGACATTGTGTTTTGAGATGTGGGGAGGCAAGCGTCTTTGTTTTTAAACTTGTGTTCTGTGTCTTTCTTATTTAAAAAATTCATATGCTTTACAAAAGATAAAATGAAATTAATGTCTTTTAATTTGTTTAATCAGGCACTATTGCTTTAAAGATGCTAAACTGAAAATGACATTTGTACCAATTGGATCCATTTGGAACTCAGCTGCTCTGTAAAATTATCATTTGGTGAGGAAAGTTCTAGCCTGTAAATGTCTTAAGTTTTAGAAATCTCCTTTCTGGTTACAGAGAGACTTTAAAAACAAACCCGCTTCACTAATCCTATTCTAAGGCCTGTTCAGATATCATTGAGGACTCTCGGGAAAGCACCACCTGGCCACCTTGGCTTGTGTAGTGGAAGGAATGGAGGAAAATGAGCATTTTCCATTTGGAACACACTGGTGAAATGTGTAGGAGGAAACCATTGCTTTCAACTGTATTGGGCTCTTCTCAAAAGCATTCTCTCATACAGAGAATAGCAATAGCTGGTGGTGGCCTATCTGAACCACATTTGCTAAAATGTGTTCTGAACACTGATGTATTTTAAGTGATTCAAGCTTAGATTTCTGTTTTTCTCTCCTTGTTTAGAGGCATCAGAGTGTGACCAGCAATGGGTACAGGGAATATCTCAATTGGCAAAACTTTCTGATAGTCATCTTTCAAAGCCTGTCTTAAAACTGAACCTTAAACTGCCCTTTTGGGGCTATGGATGGGAAACAAGCAAATCTTCTGCTTTATAGCCTTTACCTGCTGCTAAAATAAGCCCCTTCTTGTTCTAAGTCTATGGATATAACTGTATTCTGCTCACCTATTAGCTGGCTATAGATCCAGTTAACAAAACATGAGTTTTCTTTATCATTTCTGCTGTGAGCAAATACTAGATTTGTTGTCACTTCATCCAGGCGGAAATTCTGAGTTAAACAGAGCGGTGTTTTGAGGAGGTCGAGGAAAGTTTTACCATGTTGCCATAGAGTTCCACAACCTTTAGTGCAGTCACACTTGCTATACAGGTCTGGCTTAATTCCTTGCTATATGCTTTCTGATTTGAGATGTAAACTAATAAAACTTTGCACTCGTTTTCTCACTACTTCTTTGTCATTGAAGGGAGCTCTCTTTGCTTAGAGTGAATCTCCAGAAAATGTATTCTCATAATTCTGAACTTTTTAAGAGTGGATATGTATAATTTTCTGTTATCCAGCTTCTTTCTGCATTCACCAGTAATGGTTAATACCCCACACTTATAGAATTTGGAGGCAGTCCAGTGTTGCTGCTGGAGGCTCCAGGACTAAGCCTAGCCCTTCAGCTCATGCCTCTAGATTTTCTGTCTCCAGCAATGGAACAAGTTGGTGGTTCGGTTTCCTCTTACCTTCTTTCTTTGTTCATGCAGCAGCAATTTATCTTCCTTCTCTTCCTCTTCTTCCCCCGGATTGAGTATTTGACAGTGAGATGGTTTCAACCACCGAGCTCCACCAATGAAGCACCCTCCTCTCCAGGACACCTCTGCCCCATTCAGGCATGGCAGAGCTATCCTGAAAACAGCAGACTAAATCTAAGCCGTGTTTTCCATGCGAGGCACCATTTACAGGCTCTTCAGAGGGCAAATTATGTCCTGCCTGTTCTCTGTCAGGGCATGGGGCTCAGACCGGACCGGTATGTCAGGTCCCCCCATCCCAAGAGCTGCAACTCTAATGCAGAGTCTAAGGATGAGGAGGATGCTATCCAGCCAGCTTGGGGTAAGTCCTCCAACAGACGGGAGGGAAGGAGAGGAACAACCTGCCCCCTCTTCCCCCCCGCCCCCCCAAATGATCCCAAAGTCCCATCCTCCAGATACTGAAATGGGTCCTCTGCTCCCTGGGGAAAGAAGTGGGGCTCCTACACCATTCCCCTTCCTTCCACTAGGAATTGGGGCAATTTCCTGGTACTCAGGGGTAGGTCTAGCAAACCCTGAGATTCTGGAATCCCAAAAATCAAAAGCTAGCATCACCTTTTGCAAGGCAGCAATTAGTATTACTGAGCAAGTGGGGTGAAAATCTGGGGTCAAACCTCCTCTCCTTTGACTTCACCACCCTGCTCCCTCGAGGGAGTGTTTGCTGGTGCTTTTCTCCTACACAGAGTCTCTCAGTGTTCTATATCAAGCTCACTGCCCCTTTCCCACCCGACAGCATGTCTGGCCCTGCAGAAAAACCTATCGTTCCCAGGAAGCCCTCCCTCAGATTGCTGCATAGTGGAAATTTCAGTCCAAGGACCCTCACTCACAGCCAGGGAAAGGGGTGCAGATTTCAGGCAGCAGCAGAATGGGAATTGTGCCTGCTTATCATAGTAATAAAACCTTGCTCTGCCGGGGAAAGGGGTTTTCTCTCTCCCTCTCTTGCTCCCTGTCCCCCTCCGCTGGCTGGCTGCTCATTAAAGTGTAAGGAGTACTTCAGGCAGCCTGTGACCAGAACAGAGGCTTCTGAGGATTCTGCTCCCCATGAAGTTGCACCATCATGGGATTACAGAGGGGTAAGTGAGAAATTCCTTCCCATGTTCAAAATGATCCTGTTACTGAGTAAAGTCCTGAGTGGTACGAGGCTGCTCCGACAGTACTTACTTGGGAGCTAGCCAGCCTTGGGGAGCAGGCAGGCAACCTTTCATGCGGACATCTAAAAAGTGACTTCTACAATCGAAGTACTTGTACTAGCACCCCTCATTGGTTGAGTGGTCCTCAGACCAGGATACGTAGCATGCTATCTTCCACCTGTAAACTGCCAGGGGAAGTACCACACATGCACTACCGAAAAACAAACAAAACCAAAATTAAAAAAAACCCAACCAAACAAAACAAATCTGCAGGACTTTTCCAGGCCAGGATGCCAGTGGCTTGCAAGGTACTCTAAATATCGTCCCTTTCAAGCATTATGAAATAGATTATTTTCTGTAGATGTCTCCTTTGAGGCCATCATAAGATCCAAATGAGGACAGACTACTGATTTGAAACCAAATATTAAGCTAAAATTTTGTTCTAACCCTTAGCCATCCCTTTGGAAGTTTGTGGCATACATGGACATTCCTAGCACTCTAAAGATATATCTCAAGCATATGGAGTACAAAAGCCAAGGGTACCCTGTTCAGCTCACTCTATCCAAAATGCCAAGGCTCTAGGGCCTCAAAGTTGCTGCAGGCAAGATGTTAGAATTCTGCACCAGTTGGCATGCTAGGAATCTGGGAAACTATTCACAGAAGTCTCTAGGAGTATTGGGGAAAATGTGTGTGACGGGTTGAATCACAGAAACCCCCTTGGGAGCTGCCAACTGATGTGCCAAGACTACTTCTGCCGCTGCTTTCCCAGCCAGCTCGGGACCCCAGCACTCTGTCTTGTTGAGCCAGACATGCCAGTCTGCTCCAACACAGACCCAGGGTCTGAATTACTTGCCCCAAAGCTGCAGACTTGACTGAAAGCAGTTAACAGAAGTGTTCTTATCTTTAACACTCAGATGCCCAACTCCCAATGGGGTCTAAAACCCAAATAAATCCGTTTTACCCTGTATAAAGCTTATACAAGGTAAACTCATAATTTGTTTGCCCTCTATAACACTGATAAAGAGAGATGCACAGCTGTTTCCCCCCCCCCCCCTCGGGTATTAATACATACTCTGGGTTAATAAGTAAAAAGTGATTTTATGAAATATAGAAAGTAGGATTTAAGTGGTTCCAAGTAGTAACAGACAGAACAAAGTGAATTACCAAGCAAAATAAAATAAAACATGCAAGTCTCTGTCTAATACAATATACAATATGATGGGGGCTAATTTAGCTACAACAAGTCAGGAAAAAGATCTTGGAGTCATCGTGGATAGTTCTCTGAAGATGTCCGCGCAGTGTGCAGAGGCGGTCAAAAAAGCAAACAGGATGTTAGGAATCATTAAAAAGGGGATAGAGAATAAGACAGAGAATATATTATTGCCCTTATATAAATCGATGGTACGCCCACATCTCGAATACTGCGTACAGATGTGGTCTCCTCATCTAAAAAAAGATATACTGGCACTAGAAAAGGTTTCAGAAAAGGGCAACTAAAATGATTAGGGGTTTGGAACGGGTCCCATATGAGGAGAGATTAAAGAGGCTAGGACTCTTCAGCTTGGAAAAGAGGAGACTAAGGGGGGATATGATAGAGGTATATAAAATCATGAGTGATGTGGAGAAAGTGGATAAGGAAAAGTTATTTACTTATTCCCATAATACAAGAACTCGGGGTCACCAAATGAAATTAATAGGCAGCAGGTTTAAAACAAATACAAGGAAGTTCTTCACGCAGCGCACAGTCAACTTGTGGAACTCCTTACCTGAGGAGGTTGTGAAGGCTAGGACTATAACAGCATTTAAAAGAGAACTGGATAAATTCATGGTGGTTAAGTCCATTAATGGCTATTAGCCAGGATGGGTAAGGAATGGTGTCCCTAGCCTCTGTTTGTTTGTCAGAGGATGGAGATGGATGGCAGGAGAGAGATCACTTGATCATTGCCTGTTGGTCCACTCCCTCTGGGGCACCTGGCATTGGCCACTGCCGGTAGACAGGATACTGGGCTAGATAGACCTTTGGTCTGACCCGGTACGGCCGTTCTTATGTTCTTAATTGTCCTGGTTAGTGGGAGTCATCAAGATTCCAAACCACCATTAATGGCCCACACTTTGCATAATTACAATAGGCCCTCAGAGTTATATTTCATATTTCTAGTTTCAGATACAAGAGTGGTACATTTATACAAATAGGATGAACACACTCAGTAGATCATAAGCTTTGTAATGATACCTTACAAGACACCTTTTGCATGAAGCAGTTACATTAGCATATTTTCATAAAATCATATAGAGTGCAACGTCACAATGTGTATGAGCCTCATCCGAAGAGTTGCAAAGTAAATTTCCATTCATCTGCAGAGGCGAGCCTTTGGTAGGAGGGTGTTCTGGGTTGGTTTCTACCTAATTCCTTGCCTTATATGTGGGGAAACCTTTCCCTTCCTGACTTTTATTCTAATGTAGTAATAATAATAATAAACTCTGCATATCCCCCCCTCCCCTCCACTTCTAAGATTCACTGCTGGCTACTTCCCGTTAGTGATGAATTAGGAGAGAAGTTGTGCAACAGAATGAGAAATTTCTTGCCTAATAATTTTCTTTCTGTTAGCAGTTTCTCTCTTCATTCAGCCACCCTGGCAATCTGATAAATTACCAAAATACAAAATGGAATTTTTCTCTTAAGGGAGATTTAGACATATAATTGTTTTAGGTTGTTTAATACATTATACCCAGTTGTCTTAATACTAATAATCAGTTGCTGGAGTGTTTCTACAACTGTAGAACAGCTCTTCTGGTTGCCTGGACTGAAGGGCTGGGTTTACTCCTGGAGCCTCCAGCAACAAACATTGGACTGCCTCCAAATCCCATAGGTGGGGTACTAACTATTAGTGATGAATGAGGAGAAGAACTGTGCCACAGAAAATGATCAGATAAGAAATTTTCTCATTCTTTGCAGGCAGTTGGATTCTGTCCTCACTGATCTCACACGTAATTCTGCAGAAGGGACAGAGTACTTCAAAATGCTTGTCGACGTGTTTGCTCCCGAATTCCGCAGTCCAAAGAACATGCACTTGCGCAACTTTTACATTATTGTTCCCCCACTGGTTAGTATTTTTGCCACTTTTATTGATGTGAATTTTTTTTTATTTATGATGCATAACATTAAACCACAAGTATATGTGTAGTAGGCTATTCAAGCCAACTTAAGGACCAACTCCCAACAGTGCACAGATGGGACCTCTGGAAGAGTAACTTTAAAAAATCTTTCCATCCATTACATTAAGTCAGTGGAGGAATCTTAATGGGAGAGAGAGAAGAGAGGCATCTGGGATAGCATGTGATGAAAAAAGACAGGAATGAAAGGAGAAAAAGCAATGAGATTAAATGCCTCTTCCCCAAAAGTGTCCTTCCAGCGGCAGCTTGGGGACCTCCAACCACTTTTTACTCCAAGTTCTAGTGTATAAACTGTAAGGCCCTCATCCTGCAGTTGGATCTGGTCAGGAAGATCCTTGCCTCCGTGCAGAGCCCCACTGACTTCAGCAGGGTTCTGCCCACTTGGATTGATTGCATGATCAAGGCCAAAATTGGGAACTGTTCATTATTCCAAAACTAGCTTTTATACTAGAAAATTAACTGAAGGTGGCTGAACCTCCAGCTGTGATTGTGGCATCATGGGCGATGTAAATGAGGAAAAGGGGGCCACATAATCCAAGGAAAATCTAGAAAAATAATGAATGAATATATGCAAACAAGTAGGGGGAACGTTTCTCTCCTTCTCCCTACATCTTTCAGCTGTTTTTCAGAGATGGCTGCATTTCAGAAAGCTTCATTAAATATCTTTTTGAACATTTAACTATATTGAGCTACACTCTAATGAATGCACCACTCTGGTGTGTGTATTAATAAACTATTGGTTTGCCCACTGGGTGATTGAAGAGAATTGGCCTTTCACCTAAAACACATCCATTGTGTGGTAGTGCTACAATGATATGAAAGAGTAGCTCCATCTAAACAGAGTAATATAACTGCATGAGACTCTCCTGTGTGACTTTCTAAATAAAATTGAGTAATTCAATACTAATTTAAAATACTGTCTTTAATGAGCTTTCAAAAAACATCTTAGATCTTTGGGTTAGGTTTAAGAAAAGTCATTTATTTTGTTTATATTTAGCTTTATTTAAACCTCCATTGGACACCTGTTCTGTGCTCCTATTCTATGTCCCTTATATTAATATAAAGCACTTGACATCACCAGCAAATATAATGAAAATTATACCGTACATTATTAATTCTATTGTGCAAACTCAGAACCCTCCAATCCTCAGCTGACCATCTCCCCCAAAGCCTAGGAAACAGATGAGCTGTCCATCCAAAACCCTTATAAATCAGGGTCTCGGAATTTAGCTTGGGTTTTTGGATGTAATTATATTTTACTGACAAAATTGCAAATGACCACCTTTTATTTTACAAAATCTTACTCTCAGGTTATGTCTACACTACAGATCTTACAGCGGCACAGCTGTACCACTGCAGCTGCGCTGCTGTAAGGTCTCCCTGTCGACTTATCGCTGTCCACACTGGAGCTTTTGTCGGTGAAACTTATGTCTGTAAGAGGTGTGTTTTTTCACACCCCTGACTGACAAAAGTTTTGCCAACTGAAGTGCTAGTGTAGACCAAGTCTGAAATGACATTCTTTGGGACAACTACCTTTCCTTCATTTCAGACTCTCAACTTTGTAGAACATTCAATTAGCTGTAAAGAGAAGCTGAATAAAAAGAACAAAGGTGGAGCAGCTTTCACTGATGATGGTTTTGCCATGGGTAAGTTTGAGCATACTGTCTAGTCTTCCAATCAATTGGCGTGATCAAGACTTTACAAAATAATAATTTGCCAAAACTTTTATGTTTAGCATTGCCCACTATTTGTGATTTTTAAATTTGAACAGGAGTACCTGTGACACCTTAGAGACTAACCAATTTATTTGAGCATAAGCTTTCGTGGGCTACGGCCTACTTCATCGGATGCATGTAGTGGAAAATACAGTCCACTACATGTATCCGAAGAAGTGGGCTGTAGCCCACGAAAGCTTATGCTCAAATAAATTTGTTAGTCTCTAAGGTGCCACAAGTACTCCTGTTCTTTTTGCGGATACAGACTAACACGGCTGCTACTCTGAAACCTTTATAATTTGAGTTGTCCTTACTTCAGCATGTCGGACTTGTGTAGATTATTGCTTTCCAGTTTCAATGCTGTATACTTAGTTCTCTTACGTCTCTACGTGCACTACTAGGACAGACAACACTTCACCACAGGAAAATGGAATTTTACACAAGTCTGTTTCATCATTTGTTGGGTGTTTTAGCCATTTTATTTATTTCAACATTTTTATTTTTAGGGGCGCATGCATAAAAGCACATCTAGCTGTGATGTTTTATAAAGTAAAACTTGCTCTTTATTGTAGCTTCATAGTTAAGACTTAATTGTAACGTAGCATGTAAAGCGAATAGTCCCAATACTGATATTAGAGGATATTCAAGGGGGTATATATAGAATATGTACCTGCATTTGTTCAATTTGTTCAATTTGACTTTGGTAAATGATTTGTTAATGACTGCAGGTGTGGCTTACATTCTAAAGCTTTTGAATCAGTACCAGGAGTTTGATTCACTTCACTGGTTCCAGTCAGTCAGGGAGAAGTATGTGAAGGAGATAAGAGCAGTAGCTAAGCAACAGAATGTGCAATCAACTAGTCAAGATGAAAAGCTACTACAGACTATGAACCTTACTCACAAGCGACTGGAAATTTGTTTACAGGTACATTATGGTTCCAGTTATATGACTTGTATTGAACTCCACATTTGCTTGTCTTGGTTCAGTTGGTTATTAGTGCTATAGAAAGCACCATCAAGAATTTGTAGAAACCATTAAACTATTTACTGCTGCCTAGCACAAAAAAATGCCCTTCTCAAAAGAAGGGATGAGCTGGTATTAATTATATATTTAATGCTGTAAGCGTGCTTGGTGCTTTAAGATGTGTTAGAAGAGAAATACCTTGCTCCTAAGAGCTTGAAATCTACAATAGATGGCTAACTTGAGAGAGAATGACTGACCATGGAATTAGGAGTAAACAATATGATGATGTATATGTTTGTGTATAGAGAGTCAAAGGAGCTTGGTTCATAGCATTGGATATTATGACTTCTGTGAATTGTGAAGATGAATAATGTCTCAGCTATCAAACCAAGGAAAGGCAAGCCTTATTCAGTATCTTGAAATATAGTAGTTTTAACTTCAAGGCACAAAAATTACAATTCTTTCTGCCTTATGTAGATAATACCACCTCTTATATCTGTAAGGTCACAGTAATTCAAATGTATAGAAGTAACACATGTGACTCAAGACTTAATCTATTTAATACACTAATATAAAGTTCTTTTGGCCAGTCTAAGTGCTTTGTAAAACACATGTGAACAAGGTATAAAGTAGGATTTCCAAAAGCACCTAAGTGATTTAAAAGCACAAATCCCATTAACTTTCACTTAGGTGCTTCTGCAGATCCCATTCACATATGCTGTAGATAATAATTCTGTGATATACTTCTGCTTACTGAAAGTCTCTTTCTTGTCTCAATATTTTTAATTAGGAGTTTGAACTGCTTTATTTCTCGCTAAGCAGTGCAAGAATATTTTTTAGAGCAGACAAAACTGCAGCAGAAGAAAACCAGGAAAAGAAAGAGAGAGAAGGTTAGTGAATGTTGTAGAACTTTTTTAGAACTTGACATTCTTGTGTCTTCAGAGATACCCTGATTAGGATTTTGTGGTTTCCTGTGCAATATGACTCAGACTTCAACATGGGGCACGCTCTCCTTGTCCTGTGTAACTACATTCTTCTTACTATCAGCTGATTCAGCAGAACTCCTACACACTCCAGATGTTGTCAGAACCTAATGGTGATGATATCTGGAGTGGAGTGAATTTTAACATGGATTATTGAGCCCAAAAGCCAGTGATAGGGGGAGGAAGGAAAATAACAGTAATATCACTTAATGGGCTAAATGCATTATCATTCTCACCATCACCAGTTTGGTAATGGTATACTCCTCCCCTCCATTGTCTTTATGATAAACTCTTTGAAGGAATGCCATTTGAATTATTCATCATTGCTACTAGCTACAGTTCAGTGGCAGTGATTAGGGCTCCATGTCTGTCACGGAGGTCACGGAAGTCACAGATTCTGTGACTCTCTGCGACTTCAGCGGCCATTGTGGCTGACCCCAGGGCCACCCAAGCAGCTGGCCCCAGGGACAGCTGCTCTGGCGGCCCTGGGGACAGCCACATTGGTCGCTGCTGGAGCAGCCCCACAGCCAAGATTTAGTCATGGGTATTTATAGTACAATCAGGGACAGGTCACAGGCCATGAATTTTTGTTTATTGCCCATTACCTGTCCATGACTTATACTAAAAATACCCATGACTAAACCGCAGCCTTAGCTGTGATTAAGGAACTATTTTTAACACTCATACAGAGATCATTGGCAACATGTAGGGAGATAAAAGCTTGAACATACTATACTTCTAATATGCAGATGCTCACAATCTTGGCAAATGAACTGCTAATATAGGATTTAAGGAGTATATTATCGATTCATGGTTTAGGTGAAGCACCCAATTAACATTAGTAGGCGTTATATATATTCAGTGTCAGGAGAATAATCCTACCACACAAATTTCTATAGGCTTTCTTGGGCAGGGAGAGTTAGCATGCTGTGGTTGAAAGCCTGTCTCTTTAAAAAATGAAAAGTGCTCACAAGGATTGTGAGGTAGATGTATGGTTGGCCCAAGGGATTTAGGAAAATTGCTATAGCTAATCCCACTCAGGTGAATGTAGTGAAGTTGAAAACAGAATTAGTAGCACTTGGCCAGAAATGCCTCTTTTAAAGGTAATACAACATAAACTTCCTGTCTGTAGTTCTGGTAGGTTCTTATCACAGATGTTATGAGTTTTCAGCTAAAAACACACACAATTTTTCATTTTAAAAATGTAAATAAAATGTGCCACTGTAAGTCTGCCAGAAACATAAAGGGAGTAAACAGATCAAGGGGACTGTCCTGAAAGGATCCGTTATTGTTTCTACCAAGGGAAGCTGGCTAGTTCACTAAGGAAACTTTTTTTAGGATGAAATAGCATTAGTTTTTCATGTACATTTTAAAATTTCTATTCACTCTGGGTGGAGATGCTCAAATTACTATTCAGACTTTAAAAAAAAAAGTTAATAGAAAAGGACAAATACTGTGGTAACTTTGAGTTAACCAGCCACAATTATATAGAGTATTCCTCTGAAAGACACTTCAGGGTAAGTATTCATAGTCATGGTAAACTTGCCAGTCGTGTGCAAAGTGTGTTCTGCAGTAGTCAAGGCTTGAAAGTTTATGCTAAACGGAAATGCTGTGAGAAGCAATATCATAGGCTTTCCCTTCAGTGTTTAGACCTTAGTTCTGCAAAGCTCTCCAGCACGTGTATAACTTTGCTCATGTGAGTAGTCCCATTGACTGGGACTAACCACAGGAGCAATGTTGTGCATGTAAGTGCTTTGCAGGGTCAGGGCCTTATTGCTGCACAGTCAGTTAGGATATCTCAGCCAAGAGAATAGAACTGGAACGTTCCTGGTATATAGCAAGCTTACTTTTTATAATGTCTGGTTAAAACAAATTATTATTTTAAATAGAATATATCTATTAGTTTCAACTTTTTTTCTCCTTTTTTCTTCTGTAGAAGAATCTGTTAAAACAAGCAATGGAGACCTCTCCACCGCTGCACATGCAGATCCTGTTGTGAAATGATATTGCTGGTATGCATTATTTGTATGAGCTATCAGAATTATTCATTATCCTGTTCTTGCCAATAACTTTTTGTAGGGATAAAATCTCTAGATTTGATTTACCTCTTGTGTTAAAATCAATAGAAAACGGTACAATACTGTAGCAGTACCCAGTGGGCTACTATAGCTGAGTTTGTGTCCGTATTTCCTTTGGAAAACCCTATTGTTCAGGATTTTATTACATTATTTACAAAATTTTGCTCTGAGCTGAAACGTAGCATGTAAAACCTTGACTTAGGAACAACCATTATCTTAAGTTACAGAAGTGCAGATCAAAATTAGTAATTCCCTAATTTCAGATGTTTTCTTGCATCTCTAACTTTAAAACATCACTTAAAAAACCTTGTAGGCCTTTGTTCCATGGTTAGCACTAGGGCATTTTGATCTTTTCAACCAGGAAAAACAATTAAAGGCAGACAATTTGCATTTCTAGTATCTATTGTCTGAAAAATAATTTGGGTGCTGGGAATGCATCATATCCAGAGCATATGTGGCACCTAATACCATAATCACATACCACACTATAATAATGCTCGGCATACCTTGTGAATGTAAATTGAGACTGATACACAGTTCAGAAACCCTTATTAATATTAGCATATCACAAAGCCTGTATTCTTCATTGATATTGATCCATTGGCATATCAGCTGACCTAAGGGGATTTAGGGCCCCTTCAGTAGCTCACTTTCCCTGCCTTTTCTTCTTTCATACCAAAGAAGGGGTGGGGGGGAACTAAGCTAATGAAACTGCTTTAGGTTTACACTGAAGGCCTGACTTTCATCTACAAAAGTAAGGAAATTCAGAGAAGAGAAAACCAGAGTTAGTGCTTCCTCTTTTGACCAGGCACTGTATGAACGGGTGTCTGTGCATATTAAGTAATCTTACATTTCATGAATGCTGTAGTACCTAAGCACAAGTTTCAGCCTCACGTCTATATCTCCTTACCTTTGTAGGTCTGTTACACCCTTTGTGTTGTCCAAACCCAGTCTGACATGCTTTATGATCAACAATAATTGCACTGCAGGCTCTAAAAGCTGCTGTACACTGTGAGAATTCTGTATAACTTAAACACGTGCTGACTACAGTTCTGTAGCTTGTGCAAGAGTTAGACAGTAGTTATCCAGATTCCTGACTCAAGCAAATGGCTAGTCTTATCTTAAAATTAAGTGCCAGCTACCACTAACTATGAAAAGGTACGGTTATGTTTTAATCACCCAGAACATAAAACAATATCTTGCTAAATAACACGTCAGTTAGTTTAACTATGACTTGCAGTTTTTTGGCACATATGGTATATTTTATTGGACCACAGTTGCCAGCCTCCTCTCCTAATTACAGTGCAAGATGCTCTTTTATAAATATTTCATAATTACTCCAAAGCTGGTCACTGATTATGTATATATGACTAATATAATGTGTGACACACCTGATATTTGCCCCCGTCAGTCACTGATTCATGCAGAAATCTAGGACAAATGATGTTTTCTTGAAACTGAAGGGACCAGACTGGCATGGAATTTTTTCCCCTAATGTTGAAAACATGACGCAGAAGCATCACAAACCATTTACTTGGCTGCACTCATTAAATCCTTTATTTGCAATTCGTCATAATTGCTGAGATGGCCCTAAAGAGTGCTGCATACCCTAATTTGTATTTGTTTGAAGTGCTGTTTTATTTCAATGAGACTTTCATACTTAATTTGTAATTATTTTTAATTATTTGTGTCTAGTTTGACCTCTTTGGGCCAATAGCAAACATTTTCAGCAGGGCTGCTACTACTGCTAACTTCCCTGCTCCTGTATGTGCATATACAGATGCCCCTGTTCCAGACCAATCTTCAGTCGTATAGTTCATAGGTTCTTGGGGATCTGAAGAATCTATGGCTAGTCTCTCTCATTTCTCCTGTAGATTGACTCTATGTAAACATGTACGTTCATGGCACACCTATGCTATAATAAAGTTTGCACTTTCCCCTTTTGCCCTGTAATTCGGAAGAATGCTATTACAAACCCTTAATACTTCGCAGTTAATCTTGGATAGTGTATATGCCTGATCTGTACAGTGCTAACAGATTAATGTGGTTTTGATGAGCAAAATTCCACAGAAAGGACTAAAGGCTATTTTTAGTACCCTGTTTAGAGGTAGCATATGTGGATGTGTAATGTATGTGTGAATATATACATATGTACAATGATATAGCTCTTCTTGCTAATATAGGACTGTAGCTAATGTATTTGAAACATCTCACTATGCAGTAGAATCTCACTAATGGGGGGAACCATTGTATGGATTCATTCAGTTTCAAGCTGGAGTACTGGGGCACACTCCCACATGTGCCAGTGGGGGAAGAGCTCCATATTAAACCCGTCCATTTCACTAGGGATTACAACTGCATGCGGTGCTACTACAGTGAGAACCTGGTCCAGTAGCTCTTGCAGCTTGGGCACAATCGTGGAAATGAGGCTCTGGGCTGCTGGTCTGGAGAAGGGAGAATCTTAGGAAAGCTGCTGTTGCCACTTCATTCAAAAAAGCCATTGGTAGTGAGAGAACAAGGATGGCCACAGCTGGCTTCATTTTGCTGAGGACTGATAGACTAGCTCCTTAGCTCCCCCTTTCCTTTCAGTCAGGAACCGGGGGGCATTGCTGAAAGCTGCCTGTCTAGCAAGAAAGCAGCAGCTGCTGCCATCTTTCACTTGTTTCTGTGGCTGGGCTGAGTGTGACAGGAAACAGACGTATAGCAACAACCCTTTTAAAAGCTCATGCCCCTCTCCTGATTGGCTGTCATATTCTTCAATCAAGCAGCAATGAGAGTCCAGCCTTACAAGTCCCTTTTCCCACCCCCATTTTCCTTCCCCCACAACAGCAGTACTGGGGGGAGGAGTCTAGTATGTGCTCTAGTCTGATTTCAGGGACTTACTGAATGCCAGGACTAATCTCATGTGCCCTTTCCCTTGGCCCAATTGTCAGGGCTGGGGGGAGAGATTCCACTGTGATGGCTCCACTAACAGCTGACCCATCTACACTTCAGTGAGCAGCTAATTTGCTTCCAGTGTATAGCTGTTGGCTCATGGGTTGCTGAAGTGCAGATTCCTGAGATCCTACTGCATTCTGTAAGTTGGAGGGAAATTTGAACTTTTCATCGGATGGCCATTGATGACAACCATTTTCAATTTCTCAGGTATGAAGGACCAAATGTAACATGTATTATCTAACTCATTTTACAAAAAGGGTATTTTGTTACCTCAGTCTTTTTTTTGGTTCTGTGAGTAGAGTACACTATGTACAGAAAGTTAATAAATGTAATTTTGAGAACATCATTCTTTGATTTTTTTTTTTTTCTTCAGTAACAGGTGTCCTCTGAACTATAAGCAGGTTTCAGTTCTCCGTTGGTAACAGTGTGACTGTTCTTACAGAGCAGTGCTTGTGTGTCAGTAGTAACGTGAGCAAATCAATACACAGAGGGTTGGAGAAATAATACTTCATTCTAATTATAATTAACTTGCATGGTGCTCACATTCAAACATTCAGTGATGAATCTGATGGGTGTCTGGCCTTCTGCCATACTGATTCCATGCAAAACGGGCATCTGCAAAGATATTTTGGAAGATCATCCTCCTTGTCTTGTTCTAGTTAACCTTAAGCTCTCTAGAAAAGGGATCAGCAACCTTTGGCACGTGGCCCGCGAGGGTAAGCACCCTGGCGGGCTGGGCCGGTTTGGTTACCTGCCGCGTCCGCAGGTTCGCTGCTCCATGCCAATGGGGGCTCTGGGAAGCGGCGCAGGCTGGGGGATGTGCTGGCTGCAGCTTCCCACAGCTCCCATTGGCCTGGAGCAGCGAACCACGGCCAGTGGGAGCCCCAATCGGCCGAACTTGCGGACGCAGCAGGTAACCAAACTGGCCCAGCCCGCTACGGTGCTTACCCTAGCGGGCCACGTGCCAAAGGTTGACAATCCCTGCTCTAGTATCAGAAAAGCTAATTCCTTAAGTGCCCAACAAGAAATTTAGATTTAATTCAATCAGCTGTTCCAGCTAAGTTTTTTAAATGAAACTAGATATAGAGAACAGCATGAACCAATGCTGTATGGGTTTTCCTCCCTCGGACAGTTTTAGAAAGTTTTCCTGTGATGTCTGTCTTTAAAGTATTTGCCACTGCATACAGTCTTTAGTGATCCAACCGACCAGCTGCTTCTTGACTACGCAACACAAAATGGTAAAACCTCCATCAGCAACTCCTGTATAACTTATTGCAGATGAAACTGGAGAAAACTCCTTAGCCAGTGCAAAGTGCCTCAGTTCAGGCAAGCTATGTGAAAACACCAGTCACTATACCACAGATTTATAATCTAGCATTTTATTGGTAAACTTTTTTTTTATTGAAGACTGTTGCAGACTGTCAGACTTTATATTTCACCATAAAATTAATGTTATACAACCATACTTAATGCTATAAACATACTGACTTATGACCATTATCCCTGGCTGTTACTTTCAAGAAGCTTAACCATATAAAAACCACACACAAACATGCAAATTCCTTCACTAGTTCTGGATTCTGTTTGCATTTTAGTTGTATTTAAAACTAACAAATCCAGGAGTTGTGTTATATCCAGGATTTATACATTCTGTAATTGAGTAAGTGTGGTCCCCATGAAGATGAATAGGCACTTAAATTTATTTTGTAAGCTTATTCTAGGTGCAATACAAAAATAGATTAATAGGAAAAAATTAGTGTTTATCAAATAGTTTTGTAAATAGACTAGCACAAAAGAAATTCTTGTTACACTTAAAGTACACTAGAAACTAAAAAACTTCATTTGAAAATAAAGTAAATAGTGCATTTTTCTTAACCTTCATTCAGATACACTATCATGCAAACTATGGAAGTTACTAATCACTACAGGTACAAAATTTCTACAGTGGCCTGATTTTCAGAGAGACTGAGCATCTACAACTCCAACTGAAGTCAATGATAAGGTGATCAGCACCTCCAAACTAACCGAAAGTGTATAAAACTGAAGAATGTGATATTAACCCTTTGCTTCGAACAGTCAGCATTTTTCAGCTGACTGCCAGCATCAAGGAGCTAACATTGAAACACTCCACAAAAGATTGTCAGCTATTCCAAACAAACCCAGAAGGCAAAATTCTGCTCTCACTCCACTGTAAGTCAAGAGAAACTACACTCAGTTACTCCTTATTCTCATTACTGTAAGAGAAAACAGAACCTGGCCCAGGGTGTGCACAAACATTTGAAAACCAGAGCTCTCTGCAAAGAAGACTCCTTGCTTTCCCCCTTCCCAACCAGCATACGAGGCATGAAAAGTTTATGCTTCTGACTCCTCCCCCCTCTCTTCAGGTATGGCTCCATCCTCTTCTGATTGGTCATTCAATAATTTGAATTTGCCATCATTTGTTAGCGGCATGGACATCATTAACTGAGCTAGTGCTTCTGGATCCTGAAATGAAGATGTTAATGAACATTAAGTTCAACAAGCTGTGGTATCTTTCTTCTTTTAGCATATAGAGCTTCTGTTCAGGTTTGTGTTCTCTGCATGACATATTTTAAAATATGGCTATATATGTATATGAGACTTTGGTCCCAACTTTGCAGTACAGTGGGACTACTTGTGCAAAATTAGACACATGCATGATTGTTTTCAGGATTAGAGCTTTTATTTGCTGCTCTTGCCTAGAATTACTACTCCAGCCCTTGAAATATTTGGTGAAAATTGTGGGTAACTTGTCAACTATTGAAGAAATAATGAGTTTACCCTGTTTCCTGGGAGAAGGGGACTTTGCTTATTATGTAAACTATTGATACATCTAACTTGCTTTGGAACTCCAGTGACACCAGAAATGTGTAGGAAAATTTTGGTAAATCATGAGGTTTTGATATGAATCTTCACAATTGTAACTTCCATTTATTTTGGGTGGAAAAAACACATCCTAACTTTTCAGCCCCGAGGAGAAGAGTTGGGGATAGTTACAGTGAAGTATTAGTGCAGAAATCTCAATTTTTCATTTTTAGGTGCCTTTTTCACTAACTTAGAGGGCTTATTTTTAAACTTGACAAGGACTTTCTCCCTGCAGTGGACAATTGCATATATATTTAAATTCAATTTAGGTTGGTGCAGAATCAGATTAAATGTAAACTTGTGCTGTTTAGCTGATGACTGAGTTAAATGCATGTCTGTGTTCAATGTGCAGTAGCAGCAGTAGTCTTCAGTTTGTACTATATTTTATACACTGTAAGAGAGCCAAACAGTGCAGTCAAATTTACAGGACATACATGAGCATTACAATGAGAGACTGGTGAGAGGAAATCAAAATAAAACAAGTATACTTCACCTTTTGAGCCTCAATAATTTCCTTTCCCAAACTTATTGCATAACAAATCTGCAAAAAAAGGAAAAAAAAAGTGGACTTAGCATAGATTTTTAAAGTTTTACTAAAAACTAACTTGTATGAAGCATCATCAATGAAAATTCATCATCTCTGAGACTGTTCATATAGCTAGAGTATCTCTTTTAAAAAAAAACCTATCATCATACGAATGCATGTCTAAATATGTCTGTTTTACAAAGCTAGGGTCTGCTCCAATGCTCACTGAAGTCAATGGACCCTTAGTGACCCAAAGCATCACGACACTCAACTTTTTAGATGCTTGGGAAATCACGGGAACAACACTCAGCTCCACAAAGCCTGAGTCAGGCACCTAGACTCCCTGTACAAAGAATGGGGAGCCACAAAAAACCAGCACGCTAGGCGGGGAGCCACCTAAGAGGAGATGCCAACAAGAGGGGTGTATCCTAAGAACCGCTCCCTCATGGAGCTAGACACCTAATTCCAGACTGTAGGGAGGTGCCTAACGTGTTTCCTGGGGGAAGGAATGAAGCACCGCCTCACTCTGCACAAAACAGCTGGAGGATGTGGTGGTGGTATCCACCTCAACTTCTAGCCCATGGTTAGAGCACTCGCATAAGATGAGGGAGACCCAGGTTCAATCTGCCCCCTCAGGCAGATGGGGAGAGGATTTGGTTGAAGAGGATCTCCCATCTCTCACCAGAGCTCTAACTACTGAGTTGTGGGTTATTCTGATGTGGGCTCCCTCAATTTCTCCTGTTGAAGCTGTTCCATTTTGGATAAATACTTAGTCATTGGGCAAGAGAGAATGATGCTGTAGTTCAGTGGTTAGGCTACATACCTGGGAGGTGGGAGACTAAGCTCGAGTCTCCCTGCTTCCATGACTAATTATTCATACACAGTTGAACAACTTCAACAGGAGAGTGAGAGAAACACCCACATCAAGTGGGAGGCAGGTGCCTAACTTAGGTGGATCAGGGCCTTAGTTACTAATGAAAAAAGTTCTTCCACATCAGTAGTGGTCTTAAGAATGCAAAACAAAATGGTGGGCTTGGTCTCTCCCATCTTTACTACTAGTTTTTTGCACAGCCTTCTGTTATCTCATGTGCAGCTGTATCCATTAATATCAAACCAGAGACACATTCTGCATTGTCTTCTTCTCTATAAGAAGTTGTAAAGTCTGGGAGATTAGGAAATGAGTTAACACTCCCACTCCCCTGTCAGTCTATTTCAACTATCCCACAATTCATGTTTTCTTAAAGGTAGTTAGAGAGAAAATATGGGTGAGGGAAGATCTTCTATGGGACCAAAGCCGGTTAGTGAGAGAGAAGTTTTTGAGCCACACAGTGCTTTTCAGGGCTTGAATGGTCCCTTAGAATATGTGTTAATTACTTATGCTAAACAATCTGTTCCACCTTGCATTTAGCTGTGACCCTGGATGTACCTTTCCCAGACCAGAAGAAGAGCTCTGTGTAGCTCAAAAGCTTGTCTCTCACCTATACATATTGGTCCAATAAAAGAGATTACCTCATGCAACTTCTCTCTCTAATAGCCTGGGACCTATACAGCTACAACTATACTGCATACAACAACTTAAAGGTAGCCGTCACAATACAGGTTACAACCTTGCTTTTGCCAGCATTGCTGCTGGACACTGACTCCTAAGACCTTAGATAGTAGGATCAGCATTCACATAAGTTCCTTTCTATGTGCTTATGCCATCACATGTCCCACAATCATTAGATTAAGAATAAAGGAAACCATCTGACTGTTTCTGTAACATTCACCCTATAGGAGGCTTCCAAAAGGCAGACTGACACTAGGATTCATTTTTTTAAAAAACGGTATAAAAATACAATATAAAACAATCACAACACCTTTTCGCCTTCTGTGTTGCTCTCAAAAATATTCGCACTCATGGATTCTTCCCCTAGAGACTCGGTGACACGG